AAGTGTACTTTAATTATACCACTCCACTTATGAGATGAGATAGAATGATGGATGTTAACTACTTTATTACTAATGGTGGAATAAAAAATATTATCATAGCATGATAAGGAGTTTTTCAATGTGTATGTGAATATAGATATAATTACTAAATATTTGATACATTTTAAATTCAAGTAGAATATTCATTAACCTGAAAGATTAAAAATAGATAAAATAAATAAAAATCAAGCTAAAACCTATCAAAATTATTTACTCCCTCATTTCCTCCCTTGCCAAACATTATAAATAGATATATTATCTAAAATAATTATAAGCAGCTTAAATTTCAAGTTACATAAGAAGTAATCATCTTCCTTTTTTTTCCATGTTCATCCGTTTTCTTTTGTCTAATCTGAACATTGATAGTGCCCAAAAATTTGTGGTTTCTGTATGTGTCCATTGATGTTATTGAAGTAAAACTTTTATAAAATGTTGGAGTTCTTGCGCAATTATTGCATTCACATGGTTTGGTGAAACTATCATTTTTAAAGTTTGCTAAGGATGTCATTTGCTCAACAAGTGTAACATGTCATGCACTCATCTGAAAACACCAGGGTACTCCTACATCATCTTTGGCATTTACTCTTAGTGCAACATCTCTAAGTAATTGCACAATAATAATATACCTTTTCTTCAATGCTTCACAAATTGTTTTATATGTTAAAAATTGTTCAACCCCAACTAGCAATTGTTTAGTATAAAGGTGTGGGTTCACTCCACCGAACAAAGTGTAGATGCTAGGCTGGCCAATTTTGATAATATGTGTGGGATATTAGTTAACAAGTATAAATAACAAGACAATGCTTCCACCTGCAGAGAACATCAGAATCGCGCCATTGCGTTCTTTTCTTTTTGAACATCCTCAGCTCAGAACACCTTTTCCTTTTTAGCAACCCTCAGCTGATTTCAATATGTAATCATCCTTTGTCTTCTTGGGTGCATCTGATGCCCACGAGAGAGTAACGTTGAACTCAGAAATAGGTGTATGCCGTTTGGTGATTCATTAGTCTAACGGACGCGCATGCGTGTGAAAGAAGTTTTCAAAATTAAACAATTCAGTTTGTTCTGATCTTCTGCAAATCCTACACAATGCTCTTGGAGTACACAATACTCCAAGAGCATGAGCGTGTACCAGTTTGCTTTTCAGGTCTCTCGGGGAGTTATAAAGTATCCTGTCCGGCTACAGTTTCGGGAGAATATTATCAACTTGCTGATAGGAGAACAATAAAAATTCATCAGAATTGTAGAAGTACTATGTTGAGGGTTGATTGAAAATGATTTGTTCAGAATGCTCTGAAACACGTACAATCTCCAAACTCTGTTCCACCCTAAACTCTAAAGCAGACCCTGACTGACTGCTGTCTTGATGCTTGCTCCTCTGGAATGTAGCTTACGGATCTTTGGAAAAAAATCATTCACCATGTGGCTACAATGACAGCGCTATGACGCTGCTGAGTTCATCGAATTCAATCGCGAAACTTGTGTATTTGTTACATCCAAAAAAGAATTTTCCATGCAGCATACTCGAGATTCCAGTGACTGTATTCAGTGAACAAATAATTGTACCGCCTTGAGTCTCATGGAGGTCGGAGATGCCCGGCGACGAAAAAGAATCCACGAACGAGTCACATTCCAGCAGCCGAATTCACGTCATGCACTAGTATTCATAGTTGTGGTGACTCATGTGCAACTCGAGTACTGCACAAGTCTGAGGACCTCGGCGTTCTCAATTGGGAACTTCATAAACCTTCTGAACATGATTGCCACAATTTCGAGTTGTCCATGAATCCTATATTTCCACACTGTTGCGGAGCATGGCCGGTGTCAGTTCGTTCCATGTACTATCCCTGTTGTGGCCAAATAGTCCATAAGACCCATTTACTGAAACGGTGGATTCCTTCCTCCTTTCTGAATCATTTTTGATGCTTTTGTCTGATTATGGATTAGATTAGGTTCAATCTTGCCCGAAGACGAAAGGCAAAATGGACATTGAACATACAGCTTGGCATGGGATCATATTATATTGGGGCACGTCATAGACAAACAAATTAGTTACATTTATTGAATATAACGGGTAGTCAGGAAATTTTGTTGCACATTACTTCTCTGCTCCAATTTAGCTGCAGGTGCAATTGCCAGCACTAAATTCAGAGAATAAGCTTTGCCTTAATAATACCACCTTTTATATACAGTGGCTTTCGGGATTGTCTACAGGGAAGGTTTTCACAAAAGCACCATAGTCCCGATCCCCGATCCTGTCATAAGACGGGTATGTTTTCCATTATCCACTTTTTGCTCCGTGCTCTTGTTTTCCATCAAATCTGTATCGATGAACTGTTGCAGTAAGTGGTGATGGGTGACTTCCTGCAAGTTACTGAAATGGGCAGTCCTGCAGAAAAGATTTCCTCGAACTGCTATAGTGGAAACTACATACATTTCTCGAATTTTCACCACATTTTCTTGTTTAGACTTCCTGGGAGTCCATGGCGGACCTCATGATTTTGTTAAAATCGGAAAGCCAAAATGAATGAACCTGAATACAGAAAAAAGCATGTTGAGTTCGTGGGGCTTAGATTACAGACTATTCACCAGGTCAAACCTCACCACATCATCAATCTTGCCACCAGAAACAAAATCTGCTGCCGTTCATGCTAATAAGCACCACCTTGCCAGGCACACCGATTCCAAGGAATCTCGGAGGCTCAGAGTGCAAATTTTCTCAAAATGCGTTCTAAGGAAGACTTTCCCTTACCTGATCTCAACGTTAGCAGATGTAATAACTTATGGACTTATTCTACAGCAGTCTAGAGATCAATCCTTTCTTAATAAACTCCTTCCGCATAGAATTTTACAGCAGACAACCACGCTGCTATTACATCACATATTCTAGCACTCCTGACAGCAGTTCAAAACAAGCAGATAAATTGTTCTGATTGTTTCACAAATTGTTCTGAACACCCAGTTTAGAGGAAATTGAGCACAAATGACACATTGGAGCTAGCTGCAGTCACACATTTCAAGAAGCGTAAAACTGCAGTGTCTTTCCAATAACAGGCTAAACATCTGACTCGGAGTTCTGCGCAGCTGGTTTCGTCTCTTCCAGAGCCTGCCGCTAGAATGCAAGACGAGTGTTGCGAATGCCAGGTGAGGAAAGTCCACATCTTGAACCGTGCAGACATCCGAGATTTTAGTTGGACAAAGGAATTTTACGCCGCAGTGAAGCCGTGAGTCTCGCTCAACTTGATTGACGTTGAGTTGGAGGAATCAGAATGCTGCTTTCTGTACTACATTGGTAGATGTATAATCTCGAGTGATATGACGGTACCGAATCGAGTATTAATATCATATTAATACTATAGTATAATAAATATAGTATTAATATCGTTCTCCTTTCACTTCATTCCCATTTACCATGGGCTCGAAAGAGTATTTGCAACGGGTGATCATCAACCTTACAGACGCATAGCTTCGTCCACTTCAGGGCCATGCTTCTGCGTTATTAATACTTTTTGCGGGCACGCGTTGTAAGAAGTTATAGCCCAGGTGGCCGCTTTACTTTGTGGCGACGGGAGGAGTCCACGTGGATATCAACAGTTGATGGGAAATTATACGGAAACTAAATTTAATCCCGTATTTTTTTAATGAGAGATATGGTGTTAAACTTGTAATATACTTTTGTTTTTATGAAATTTTCTATGAAATTTTTATCACAACGAATAAGAGAGAGCCTTGGAGTACGCGGGAGAACGTCAGAGCTACGCAGCACTAACGTTCCCCTGACTTTCGTAACTTGACTTGACAACGAGTGTAATTAGCGTAAGATGAGGGTTAACTATACTTTTTCCATTATTATTGTAAAAGAAATTGGATAAATAATAAAAATAAAAAATTTTAAACTGAGATTTTATCTATATACTCTGAGTTGAATCATATATTTTATTTCTTCTAACTATACCGTAATATGTATATCTCACTACTTTTCAACAAAATATTTCTTTTTACCACGATTTTGCCTTTAATAATATGCATAATAGATTAAAGAGTGTGATATCATTATTATCTAATATATATTATCTTTTATTTTATTTTATAATTTTTTTGATAAAAAAAATTAAAGATTATAATTTATGTCAGAAAATCAATTTAAGGTGAATTTTATTGTGAGAATAAAAAATATATATTTGGAGACCCATAGGTTTCGACCTGTGAAAGAGCAGTGTATTGGATTAAAATGAGGTACAATTACTTCAGGAAGTGTTTCTCTTTTATATATGAACTCGACTGAGATAATTTCGATTATAGGATGAAAATTATGATATTATTATCTATTTACACTCATTAGTTTACAATAACATTACTTATGATTTACAGATAGACTCAGAGAAAACTACAGCCGTATTCACTAGTATGGTAAGCACGATTACATTTACATATATAATATTGTTCACATACTAATCAATATTAGATTCACTATCTAATTATAAATTAATTTAATTTAAATATTTCAGTAAATAAACATAAACTAGAGATAATGATATCCTTGTATAAATCTAAAGGAATCTTTCATGATTTCATCATCTTATAAAAACTTCGGACTCCCAACAAGAGATAGAAGAAATAATACTACTGTTAATTAATATGAGAATTTTTTAATAGAATTAACTCAAACATTTCGTAATATATTACAAAAAGTAATATTATTGTTGTATTAAAATACAGATGTTTACATATGAAATTATCCTAAAGAAAATTTAAAAAGCATCTCGTTGTTGTTTAACAATGCATGAAACTTGCAAAATAGATTGAATTTTTCCGTCATTTTAATCTAGTAAAATAAATTATCGTTCATTATATAAAAATTTTAATTTCTAAAAACATACTAAACAGTGACTTTAAACTTCTATCAATATAGTAATATTGGTAGAAGTTTGGTTAAAAACCAGTATGTGAGTTCAAGCAATCCCAAGTGATTTTAATGTTATTATACTTTTTTTCAAGAGTCTATGAACATACTGTAAAAAGTGTAATTTGCTGTTACTAAGAATGATAATCTCTCAGAAGCTTATAGAATTTGCATATGACAACCTACCCTAGATTCTATATCGAAGTTAGCTTCACTTCACTTTTGACATTGGAGCTTGCATGTTACCGCCACATGAGGAAGGAAGGACGTACAAATCTGAACAAGGGTATAGCACAAGGAGTGAGTTATTTAGCACAAGTAGAATCAGATGACGAATTGCCGATCTATATCTACTGTGAAATCAACCATCTGCTTGGAGGGACTGGTCAATGAACGCTGCGTAGGTGCACCGTGTATACTTCGTAGTAAGGGCTACATTAGATCAAGTATAGTACGAGAAGAGCACAAGACACGAGAGACAAGTTCTCGGGGTCATAAGTTCAACATTTTACGACCATGCTGATCACGAAGGGGCTCTTGAATGGACTGATGGTGGTAGCCTGGAGAGAACTCAGTTCCCACTCGCTTGCGTCCTTACTGCTCAGAGAAGTCAAGGGTGGTACAGGAAGAGGGATTACAACACATGTTCCATGCATTTCATATTCAACTTCGACCGCCCTTAGATCTATGAACACTTTATTACACAACTTACTTAAAAGAATGGGTTAGCACTGACCCGGTCGCATGTGTCCAAGCCAACAACATCTCTGTATCTGCATGGTACCTTGCACCTTGCGCGCCATCGATGAAATTCATTTCATCTACAGCACCTTTCTGATTTTTAGATTCGCCGCACTTGTCAGCACGTAAAACTCTAGTAGAAAAAAGGTTTATATTATTCAACGCTAGTCATTCGTATACAAATCATGGGTCCGACTCTTTCCAGAACTAAGAACGGCTGCTTGTCGGTTCTGCAGAGAACATGTGCTTGACCCTTGATAAGATGGAGTCCTGAGATGGGTCATACGGATGGTCCTTCGATGGGATCTCCAAAATAGCGGGTAGAGGTTTGTTGTAGCTATCAATCTGAAATCGGATCATGCTTGCGATCTACAAAAACAAGAACAGATGTGTTAAAATATCAGGATTAAGTATGAACCGACGTAAGTTAGCAAAATGACTTGTGACTTTTCTTACATCTCGCAGAGATCCTCCTGACTCTTGATATATGAGAAACAAGAAAAACTCCAGATTTTTAGTGGGCAGGACAGAAGATGAAGATTGGGCCACTTTCTTCTCAAATCTAAGATTAGAAGCCAAAGTGGAGTCTAAAGCTTAAAGCCCTTCGAGATAGAATCTGGATTGCCTGTCCATTTGTATTTATCAGAACCAATCCTTCGGAATTGCTCTTGGTCGGAAGAGATACCACCAAGAGCGCCGGAACCGCTGCAGCTCCTTCGGATGAAGTATGAAGTTCAACCTCATGACTATAAATGTCCGCAGCCTCAATGAAAGTGCCGCAGTGGATACGGGAAAACGATACATCCAAGGGATGATGGGGACGTAGTCAATAATTCGGTTCCCTTCCAGTTTCAACTGGTTAGTGCCAAAAGGACCGTCCATATGACTCGATATGATACACTTCCCTAGAGATCATTTGCTGACCCCTAGTAACACGCTGCTATAGCAATAACACTCCTCAGACTTCTGATATGGTTCAGCATTGCCTCATGGCTAAGCAATTAGAACGAAGGTACGCATTGACTTATCACTGGAGTGAGACTGGCAGACACATAGATAGCTGACAGAAACATCTTGGCTAACAAAGTTCGGTAGATAGGTTCCACGATTACGAAGCAGATTTCTGACTTCGCAAATTCTGCTGTTTTGAATCGTTACCAATCAAACGGTCTACACAGAGCATTCCTCTTGAAAACGCCACATCACTCCTCGTTCTCGAAGTGCTACATTCCTTCCATGCCACGGAAGGACCAAGTCCGGCTAAGTACGGTATCTCACTTCATTGTGTGAGGGATTGAACTGAAAGAGTCGAGTCTTACTTACACAGCGAAGCACTATACCGTAAAGGGTGATACAACCTTGCACTTCCATGAGGTTTCCAGATATTCACAACCACAACAAAACTAATTGATTAGTTTTCACAACATTCTGTTGTTTGTTACTTGATTAATGGCCAAATATAACTTCTCACTTCTCAGAGGTGTGAGTAGATCCGATAATATATCCGGTGGTCAATAAACTGCCGAGCTTGCAAGAAGTTTTTTTACCAAAAGTATGTAACATGAGGAGGCGTATATGAGATGCTTCTGGTCTTCTCTATGCAACAGGTCAGAGATTACAGTACGTACATATTGGCTGATGAGCACGATAGCAACATCTTCTCTGTTGGTGAAGTCCTTGAAAGCATCCTCAATTGCTTTGATGGTTGTTTCTAAAGTCAGCGAAAAATTAGGGTATCAGACAAAAGAAATTGCATTAGTCATCCCTTCGGATATGTAAATCGCCAAATCACATGACTAGCACATTTCTTAGCAGCAGGAAATGCATAGAGTTGAAACAGCGATCAGTCCGGTTCAAGGACGTACTGGTGTCCACAACGAGGTAATTGGTCTTCCTGCGGAGGTCAACGTTTCCCACTCCAGCGAGCAAAAATCCAGTCACAGTATCCTGCGATCCAGCGCAATTCCTCGTCAGAAATATGTTCCCCTTGCCGTGTTTCAGCCTCATGTCCCAAAGCTACAGCCTGATGGACAATGGCCGTGATGAAGGTAGTATGTCGGGGGGGTACGCACAGGTCAATCAGATCAATAGACGACATTGCGTGATATCAGAACTGCTGGAATTCTCCAAGTACTAACAACAAATGAGAATTTCGACGTCGACACAGGAAGGAGCTGGTCGGGATTAAGTTGACAATCCTCGTCCGTTCGACGAGCTTGATGGACACTAAAAGAGTCCTGTTTTCCTAAACCTCAAATTAAATGGCCGATCAGCCAGCGAATTCGAGACTGTCAAGGTGGAAGGAGGTCGAACTCTACCTCGTCTCCAATAATGGCAATCAGCGAGGAGCTACGAGCCGTTGCCTGCGCTGCTGCCATTTTGCCCTCCTCCTTTTCTTATGCTCGGTCCTGAGAGAGACACAAGTCCACAACACTTTTAAAAACCTCCAGCGAAAACCCCCGATCCCCCAAAACACCAATTCACTCACCCCACCCGGACCAAAATCAACTGCGCACACCAAACCTCCATCCCGAATGCAAATTACCCACCAAATCACAGACGCAAAGAAATGCCCACCGGCGCACTGACAGTCAGAGATCCAATTGCGCAAGAAAAGCCAGAGAAGCTCGGGAACGAACCTTCGATATCGGTCAGTGAGCGAGCAGCTCGATCTGAAAGCGCGCTTCGTGATCGATTCCTTTCGTCGCTCGTGTGCGATGGATTAAAGCATTGGAAAGGTCCCGAGGCGCAGATCTGAGAGAGCGACGAGCAACCTTTGGCGGATCTGACAGGCAGGGAAGACAGGCCGACGGACAGCGGGCCAACCCACAACACAACAGGAGGGGGCCATTTCTTCACCCCGCTCCCCACCCTGCGCTTGGGTTAAGCTCCCGCTCACCCGCGACCCCGGTTAAGATCCCGGGTTAATCTCCCTCGCGTCCATCGACCTAAACTTCTCCCCTCGAACCCTCTCCCTCCCTCTTCTCTTCTCTTCTCTCAGCTACTGCCATTCTGCCACGTGTGTCACGAAATATTCACCATTGCGTAGAGTAGCCTTAGGACGAAATAATTTGCATAAAGTTTTGAAGAGTGTGGCCTGCTAACTTAATCACGCACCAACTCGACATCTAATGGTTTGGAGATCTGCATCAAGATTCTTGCAATTCTACTTTCCTTTCATTCGCATTAAAAATGATGAAATCATTCTCGATCCATTTTTGGTCTATTTCTCATCATTATTTTGAGTCTTTTATTCATTACAAGGTTGTTGCCTAAGATTGCGAGTGATTGCTTAGTTGCAAAGCTGGGTGAAATTAGATTTATAATGGATAAGATGTAAACCTACCTTATGGTATGCCCCTTTTAGCAGAATATACGCAGAAAATGGGATGGTTATGTTACTTGCCTGAACTTCTTTACATCCCATTCATTGCGGAGGTGGAGCTGAAGGAAGTAGTGTAGCATAAGTTTCGACTTTTTCTAGGTTCTCAAAACAATTGTAGCCATTGCATATAGCCACCTCCATGATATTCAGGAAACGTGAATAATATTGATAATATTGCAAGAGAAATAAATAACCCTGATGACTCAAATGGTCTCAAATTCTGATTTAGGTGTATTTTACTTAGGATGAAAAAATCTTTAACACATTGATGTTGCATCCACCGATATTTTATGCATTTGAATTCTATTATGTATTTTGTTTGATCAAAAATTATGATTACAGTGCTCTATCACCCTTTTCTTATGAGTTGATGTGTTGGGGGAATTACCGAGCTAAAGTATCCTAGGCCTCAGTCATGGACGTGATTGTGTAAAAATAGCTCCAAATAGTTTTTTTCGTTTAAATATAACGAGGTATAGTGAATGAATATTATCCTTTTGCTTACTATGAATGAAATCAGTAGTTAATATGTTTGATCTACCATTGATAAATCAACTACCAAATCCAAGTCTTGTTAAACCAAACACATGAAATAAAAATCAACCATGTTAAAGAACGCCACAGATGACATTCAAGTGTACCAAGCTACAAGTCAAACAGAACGGAATGGTGATCAGTGATGATTTCCTTCAAAATTCCCGTGTAATCTAAATATCTCATGAGTTTAGTTCGTAAGATTTAGGAGTAATGAAAGTATAGAAAGGATGTTATGTTACTTAGTTCTCGTAGATCCATCATATCATTATTTTTATCCAAGCAAAGATCTATTGCATTACTTACACACTATCCACACTATTGGCCACAAAATTCAATGATAAATATGATTCCTCGTGACTGTCATAATGGAGTTGTACAAATCGATATATAAATATTATAATGAGAAAATGAAATCAAGAGTCAAGAGAGCTAAATGAAAACAATATCTTCTTCAAAACTCTTCACTGATAAATTTTTAAACTTTCCTTAAGTAAGTACCACCGGACTAACATTGGTGTTGAGAATCCCGATTTCCTACGTGTCCAAAGTTTGTATGTAAATTCTATCTCCTTTAAGCATACATGGGTAAGTCCTACAGCAGGAGTTTTAGTAAGCAAAAACTTACGGCCTTCTCCAAACATGGGCGTTTAACACATACTTAATCTTGTTTGTGTGACTGTAATCAAATCTGAAAAAGAATGTGATCATCTCTTTTAATCTTAGTCCTCATCATATCATCAAACTTATTGACGAAGTTTAAATTAATCTAGAATCAAAATATGGATAGAACTTTATATAGCATGAAGATCAACCATACACTAGCCCATATTGCAGCAAGAATAAACGAGGCTTTTGCTGACTTCACGCTTACAAGGGACGAAAAATATTTTCGTGATATCACTTTATCATCCGTGGATGTACATAGGATGTTACAAGAACGAATGAACTCTCAAATGCTCTTGAACTTGGAAAAAGCCAGCCTATGTCTATGTAGATATAGCAAAGATGTATGATGTTCAGTCTCGTCGTGTGACAAATATTCTTCCATTAGCAATGTGTTGTCATCGGAACTAGCCATTAAAAGTATAAGACATTGGTGGGACATCATAAGCATTCATTCCTCAACAAGTTGATAGAGATTAATTTCTAGTTATCTTAAACGATTGTTTAATCTATTGCCCGCGTGTACACATTATAAACCTTATCATCTCCAAGAAATAATGTGAACTTGTGAATAGAGAAGGATTGTTTTGCGAGGACTGCGGCATATATAATAAGTTTCCTAGATATAGGTGTATCTCAAAGTTGGCAGACACAAATTCGGAAATCTCTCGAGACTGGGATCCTCTTGAGAAAAAGGAATGCTCAAACGGAGCAGAGATCAGCTCTTGACAATCGCCCAAATCACTTGCGCATGCTGCTTGGATGAAAAAGTAAATGACACCTAATGGAGGTGCGGGGCATCGATCCCCGTGCCTATCGCATGCAAAGCGATCGCTCTACCATGTGAGCTACACCCCCGATGTTATTTCAGTTTAGACTTAAAAAATTTAGTTACTTATTTTTTGTACATACTTTTCTACCATTTTTTTTGAAGAAAGTGCAGTAAATACTCTTTGCATTAAGAATAATTTCACTATATCATAAAATAAAAAAAACTGTTCATAATTTTTTTTCAAATATTTTACATTCTTTCTCATCTCATGAGATAGAAAGCACAATGAGGAAAGAAGTGAATTACTTATAATATTATGTAAGTTCAAGTATTATAATCGATAATTTTCATTAAAATCTGATATTTGTTGAGCTCAATTGTTTCCATGCAACTGGCATTAGTGATGTAACTATTACTGGGTTATTTATGATTCGTGTTAATACAGAGATATGACATGAAGAACATCAAAACCTAACTCCTTTCGACCACAAACGAAATTATCTTGTAGACGTGGATTCTTTTTCTTTTCCTCTATCTGCTCCACGTAATAAAGGGTTATGTGTTTTGTGCAGACACGTATAACTTAGATTTCTTTTGAAGACTGAAACATAAGGACAAACGAGCCGGGAAAATGAGTTGGGGATTGTCCACCGTGGCAAGGGTAACGGGAAATGGACTGCAGTGCGTTAAGGCGGGAAGTCCCGAACCTTTCGCTCCATTCGAGCCTTCGAGTTTTTTCTGCCTACGCTCTTTCTTTGCGCTGTCGCTTAATTTCTTAAGCTCGTACGAAGCCATGCGAGGCTCTCGTTGCGCGGGAATTTGACATTGCATGTCGGGCAGATCGCCTGCCTACGAGTGCTGGTGAAACACAATCCCGGGGTATTCAAACCTTTGTGTAGCTCTTGGAGGAGCTGGTTTTTTATGGCGTCTGGAGGCAAGATGAAGGCGCTCTTAGAAGCCGGTCCTGAGGAACGTGTGAAGCGTCGGAAAGTTGCTTTTGCGGCAAGTAAGAAAAATTCTCCCGCGCTCGCTCTCCTCGTTTCAAAAAATCGAATTTCTCTCTATTTCGCCTATGGAATGGACGGATTGGTATGGCATTGCCATCAAGCGCACGACACTGACTACTCCTCAGCTGGATAATTCACCAGATTTCTCTCGCTCTTCCGTGTTACATTAGGTTAGAAGGTCTTAATTCTCGCGTTGCCTTCTACATTGAGGATGTCGTCCCAACTGTTTCTCTCTGTTGTTCTTCATTTTATTTTTATGTCGTCGACGACAGTATGTGCTCTGCCATGCAGTCAGGCAGAGATGAGAAGATGACTCACATGTGGGGTTTTTGACGTCTGCGACACCTGTAGGGGTTTTGAAATCTATTGTTTGTGGGATTTATGTAGTAATCTTGAACTATGATACCGGCAAACTGCAGCTTTTTTTTATCTTAAATGTGGGGTTTCGATTATCAATAACGTTTGTAGGAGAGAGTATGGGAGAAGGCTAACAGTCACTGTGATGTCTTTCGTATGAAATCTTTGCATTCTTTCTTTGCACTAGCTGAGCTTAAGAATTGATTAACCAATTTTTTCTTTCGCCGGGTGCGCAGTTCCTGAATCCGTTGTGTCTTGCAACGCCAATGAGTGCATGAAGTTGCTGTTCGGTAAGTGTTTCTGAAGAAGAGATTCTTTCTTTTCTAGTTGCTTCCTCTGTTTCGCACGCGTTGGAAGATTGTCTCTTGACTAGCTTAAATGTCGCAGCGTCAATGCCATGTTTGTCGTGGATAGTGATATTGTGCTGAATGACAGCTTGTGGCCTCTTCAGTTAGTTCTGCTCAGGATATGCAAGATGAGTCGCAAAGAGAAGAGATTATGTGCGATCCACAGTTTGCGGAGCGAATTTTTGGAGAAGATGGAACCATTTATGGATATGAAGGCTTGGAGGTAAATTCGTCACAGGAAAAAGGCTAAAAAGAATCTATCTGATCGTGCCAACTTCAAGCTTTCATCTGCTTTTGTTGGTTATTACTATGTCTGCATTAATTTCATCTCGAGTAGCAATTTTTTTTGTCGAAATTGATCCAATTTTCTCAACCATTCCGCAGCATTCAAGAGGACGATCTTAAAAATCGTGTGGAATTGCTTTCCTCCAACTTGAGTTGGTTAATTAAGGTCATGGAACATGTTTTAAGGTTTTTCTTTTCTGTTATGAATCTTTCCGTAGATTGATTTGTGGCTTCAATCCAACACGTTCCATGCTTACGTCGACATACGTTTCATTAAGAAGGTACGGCTGATACTTCCATTGTGTCGAAATTTCTGGTTCACATGTGCCCCTTCGTCTGTTAATTCCATAAGCTTGAATGATGAATTGTCGCTCCTGCAATTCTCTTTGGTTGACGCATATAGTGTTGGAGGCTATCATGATCAGTGATTCTGCTAGCTTCATTGAAATTTGGGTGATGGAGGTGTTAAACATTGACGTTTAAACTTCATTTAAACTTGACGTTGTACATGTAGTCGTACTCAAGAAATTGATTGCCTATCTAGGCGTTCAGCAGTTTCTGTATTCTATTTTGATTCGCGGTTCGAGGTGTTGTGAACACGTTCCTGATGTGTGTGCACCATACTTACAGGTTGAAGGTGGGAAGAATCCTCCTACAGATATTTGGTCACAGTTGAAGGTATACAAGCGTTGCTTCTATTGCATGTCAACAAGTTTAAATTCATCGTAAGCCATTAAGAAAATTCATATCAGGTCTCTTTCTCTGATATTTATGATGCATACCAACATAAATGACTCATTGGCCTGTCACCGTCTCCAGACGATGAGAAGCGTTGTCACTATGTATGAAAATTTGTGCTTGCATGTTTGAGTGAGGGTCACGAGAGAACTCATACTGTTACTATGATTAGTCTCATCGGTATAACACTTTGAAAGTCTTTGCCAGAAGTTTGTCAGCGTCCAAATATATTGAGACAACATGTGAGGTCCAGAATGGTGTTTCCTTGGCTGGGATTATTGTCTACTGCTCAGTTACATGCTCTCCAACTGATTCGGATGACTTTGGGTTCTTATGGCAGAAAGTTTTCGGAGATAGCATGACTGACGATCGTGAGGCCTTTGTTAGTAGCTTAACCGTGAACTCACTTGCCTTCGAGTAAGGAGCCAAACTTATACTCATGCTTGTGGTCATCTTTTGTCAAAGGACTCTGCTTGAAATTGACCACCTTTTTTTTCCTTAATGTCCGCTGTGAAACCAAATTACGATTGCGCAGCTCAAATTTTGCGGATTGGGATGGATTGCAGGAAAATGATTAAAGAGAAAAGCGAGGCCGTAACCAAGCCCTGGAGAATAGGATGTGAATCTCCTGATGAATCAGTTGCTGATAAAAAGTGCGAGGTCATCGTTGATGAGATTTCAGAGAAGTCTGGACAGGTCGTTTCTTTCATGCGATCACTCGGTTGCTGCCACTTGTCCTGAAATCGTGTTGCAAGTCTCATGATATCTCTCACCCTCACCTGGAGCGGACCATCTTTCTTGAATCAGATCTGTGTGAAGTAGGGGTTGAATCGAGGTTACTGTTCTCGTGAAGAAGCTTTTCCGTGTTTGAAAATCCGACCGCTAACAAATTCTCTCCATCAGATCGTGCGCATGGAGCTCATTGATCCCACAGTCCGCGCATGGCACAAAAGGCTGAATCCACTTTCCCTTTTCTACATAGAAGGTGTGCATATTCGTCGGATCAGTTGGCATGAAGCATAACGTTTCGGGGTTCAATCATGCCTTAAAAAACTGTTATGAGCGTCGTTTGATACAAGCCATGTCTTCAAAGTTCCTGCACAATGTGCTGCTTGTTGCTGAAGGAAGTAGGTAGTGTAGATGACATTGAACGAAGATGTTCTCAGATCCTCAGCCCTCGTTCCATGTCTTTTACAGGAGCTCGTCCTATAGAAGACGACGACCCTTTGTGGGAAGTGTACCTGGCGTTGGAGATTCATGACGACCGGAGGAAGATCATGGGCTTTTGCAACGTTTACCGCTTTTACCACTATCCTGACAGCACAAGACTAAGAATAAGTCAGGTACTGTGACTGCCGCTTGCACTTGTCTATCGCTTTTTCAACACATAGTACTAGTGGGTAACTCTGAATCAAGCAATTATCTCGAACAGTTCCTAAAATTCGCTCAATTTTCTCGGGTGTGAAGTAATCAGTAGATTATCTGCAAGTACGTAGATCGCTGACATCTGTCTCTGGTACACTTTCCTGCAGATACTCGTGCTTCCACTTTATCAAGGAATGGGTTACGGCTTGCATCTTCTAGAGGCCGTGAACGACACTGCAGTCGGTCGGGGATGCTACGACGTCACGATGGAAGAGCCTTCGATAAATCTGCAAAAGCTTCGGGACACCATGGACATTTTGAGGCTGCTGTCGATTCCTTCGCAGGAGTTGAAGGCGCAAGTTGAGGATGCGATTAGCGACGGCATACAGAGACTGCATTCGCGCAAGGTGCCGAATTCATCGAGGCCCGAAGTGCCTGAGGTCGAAGCAGCTTCAGCCGGATCGAGTAATGGCTTCCGCGGGAAATCCTCACACAAGCTGACCAACGGTGTGAAAGAAAGGAGTCTCCTCGACCCCCCGAAGCAATTGAGGGACCAAGTCAGAAATCTCTTGAAAATAAATAAGAAGCAATTCAAACGCTGCTGGGAGCAGCTCCTATTCCTTCATCTTGATCCGCAGGACAAAGATCTGCAGGACATGTTTCAATCGGGTCTGATCCAGCGCTTGAACTCGGAGCTGTTCGGGAAGGACAAAGAGCTCGAGAAACAAGCAGGCAAACAAATCTTTGACACCGAGAACGAATACGACAGCTCGAAAACCTTCGTCATGGTCCGTGTGAAATCGAAAACCGGCCAAGTCCCGAGCTTCGAGACGGACGGTCGCTCCACGGAGCCTGCTGCGGAAGACAAGGTCAAGGCACTGCAGGAGTCCCTCAGCGAGAGGGAGGAAGAGCTCTACGGCGTAGCAAGGGACGTCGCCCGCCACTGCCATCGGCTGGGGATCGCCATTCCCACCATCGAGCACTGGACGAAGCCCGAGGCCCAAAACGTGGACGAAAACTCGAGCGGCTCCTCTTCGCCCATGTAAATCTGAGAAACCTCGCAATGCCAGGAAAATTATTTCAGAGGGAATCCTTCGCATCGAGAGAATGAGTCCGTGGTGATCCACGGAACCCCATCCGTGGGCACGCTGTCGAGACGAGGGAAATGGCGAGGCTCCATGAACCCGTAGCTCCGCGGATGGATCCTCAGATGGGCCTCTGCTCCTCTCGGCCCAGAGAGAGCAAGACCTTGCGGTGAAGTGCCGCCATACTTGTTGCAAGGGTGAAGAATTCACCAATTCTAATTGTACATGTAAAAGGAACACAAAGGGAAGAGCGTTTCATCTCGTGGTCGCTCTCATCTGCTCACTGTGGGGTCCGTATCGGTCTGGCTCGGAAGCATCGGATGAAGTGGCCGGTCGATTTCCGAATCCTCGGCTGGACAGTTCCATTATGTAGCATGAGGGAGGGAGAAGGCGGTCTCATCCGCTTTCGGTGTAAGAATGTCGCAGCAAATCTAGAATTGGAGCTGCAGCTCACGCTGCGCGCGGGGTAAGACGGGATGTGTACGAGGCCAAGCCGTCGTCGTGAGCAAGAGCCTCGATCGCTGTGACGACTGGAGAAAGTGCGGTACAGCGTGTCGGTGAAATGATGTCGATCAATTTTGGATGTAGAGTTAGATTAGATCGCTGCACTTCGGTATTTTTACTTCTGAAGCAGAGCTGTAAATTAAATTCTGAAGCCCGGGCTCAGGGAGAGGCATTTGGCACCGTCGTAGAAATCGTACTCCGATCATTTTGTCGTCCTGAGCCTCGCGGTCGGGGGCCGATCCCTGCCCGCCACGAGGAGTGCTCGGTACCCCGACAACGACGGCTCAGGCACCCGTTCACTTTCTTATTAAAGTCAACCCCACGGCATGGTGCCCCCTACGGGGAAGTTAGAATCCAAAGTATGTATCACACGTGCTCTGATGTCTGTCTTGCATTTCTCTATTGCATCTGTCTGTGAGACACAGTTCCGCACGTCGATTAGTTATTTCTCCAAAGAACCTCGAGCTTACGACGTCCTACTATGGTGGAATCGGAACACTCTCCTCAAGAAGGATCGTATTGTGTTTAAGAAAACAGTATTTTGTCAATCGAACGTAATGGAGTATTTCGCTTCTTTCGAACCTCTCGATCGCGCAAGTGAGTCGAACGTCGATGTTGAAGGTGAATCAATCTGCACATCGCCATACTGATTCGAGCACGTGACTGAATTGTGTGCGTGAATGTACCAATCTGCCCTCATGACTCCAAGTTGGAGGCAGGGGGGGAGCCAGGGATTTTTCTGGTGGGGGGTTGGGGGGCTCCGCCAGGTATTTCTGTAGCGCCGCAGGCGAAAGAAATTCTCGACCGCGTTTTCACGATCTGTAGCTCAGAATCTGAAGACCCTTCCTGGGCTTGGGCGTGCGCCCCCCCCCCCCCCCCCCCCCCAGCCATCTGTAGCTCCGCCACTGACTCCAACACATCGTCCCTCATTCAGGCAACCCGTGCGTGCGTTCGAGCAAAGCAGGCGTCGGGCACCGCGAGGCGCATTCCCTGAAATGTGCCAACGAAGATCAGTCGGAGCTCCGGGGTCCCTCACTGTGCGAAAGACCGCGCAGAGATCGATCCCAACTGTCGTTAGGCACGCCGGGAGGAACCGCGAGGTGGGGCCCCGGGGGATGGAGGCGCCGGACGCGTTCGCTCTTTCACCACGGAAAGCGTTATCGACCGAGTCGAGCGAGCGAGGCGACGGAGCATGCCACCAGCTACTACGACGTGAGCCACACAGAGGCGCGAAGGCTGAGGTGGCCTCTGGCCTCTGGCTGACAGAGAATGCGAGCGCCACGGTGGCAGAAGAAGGAGCAAGAGCTCCGAGGCAGGCCACGTCCTCGGCCCCGGCGTCGAGTCGTCTTGTCCGGCCGGCCGGGCCTTTGCACTTTCCCGGGATCCATTCAGCAGACGATCTATCTTATCCAATCTTTCTCCTCCCCCGGCGCCCCCTTCCCCACCCCTCCCCGCGGCCCCGCTCCGTCTCCTGGCTCTCGTACCCACCCTCGCGCTCCCCTTCCTCTCCAACGAGAGCAGCAGCAGCAGCCCCTTCCCCACCCCTCCCCGCGGCCCCGCTCCGTCTCCTGGCTCTCGTACCCACCCTCGCGCTCCCCTTCCTCTCCAACGAGAGCAGCAGCAGCAGCCAGGCGCGCGCTCGACGCTCCCAACGTCTCGTGGCAACGAGTCGGGCGTTACAGAGAGAGAGAGAGAGAGAGAGAGAGAGAGAGCTCTAGGAGGTCACATTGCGCGCCTGCGTGCCTGCCTCGACCGTCGAGCGTTACGGCCATGGCGACCAGCACCTCGTGGGCGGAGCGGCTGGGCGCGCACCCCGTCGGGCTGAGGGGCGCGGCGCTGAGCTGCAAGGCGCGGGCCGAGGGGCGGCCCGCGCTGGCCTTCCCGGCGGCTCGGGAATTCAAGCAGGCCGGCGCCAGGGCGAGCGCGGGGCCCGCGCGGGAGGCGGTGAAATTGGCGGCGTCGAGCCTGGCCGCGTTCGGGCTCTCGGCGCTGCTGCAGTTTGCGCCGCTGGGCGCGCCCTCGGCGCTGGCCAACGAGTCGACGGTGCTGAATTTCGGGCCGCCCAAGGACGGCTATGTCGTGGACGACGCGGCCGTGCTGAATCGCGTGACCAAGGCCGAGCTCAAAGCGGTTCTCAAGGAGCTCGAGGACACCGACGGCTTCCACATCGACATGATCACTCTGCGCAAGCTGACGAGCAAGGCGGACGCCTTCGAATTCGCCGACGCCGTGCTCGAGAAGTGGTACCCGACTATCGAGGAAGGCAACAAGAAAGGAATCGTGCTGCTGGTGACCACTCAAAAGGAGGGCGCCGTGACGGGCGGCCCCGCCTTCGTCAAGGCCGTGGGCGACCAGGTTCTGGAGGCCGTGACCACCGAGAATCTGCCCGTCTTGGCCGTGGATGAGAAATACAACGAGTCGTTCAGCAGCACCGCCAAGCGACTGATCGCTGCGATCCGAGGCTTGCCCGACATTCCGGGGCCCAAGTTCGAGGAGTCCAAGAGGGAGTCCAATTTCAAGACCAAGGAGGAGACCGCGGAGAAGAGGGGCCAATTCTCCGCCGTCGTCGGTGGTCTTCTCGTCATCGCCTTCGTCGTTCCAATGGCTCAATACTACGCCTACGTCTCGAAGAAGTGAGGAAGCCCTGTACACTAGATTTTCCACCTCGGTAGCTGCCGCCACTTTTTTGATGCCAAGACTTCTGATGCCGACGGTACCTTCTGTTTTTTACGTTACGAGTTTCATGTACCATTCTACCTAATTAGACATTTGACGACTATTCCGGACCCCTTCTCGCGGGTGCTTCGCATTGTACCTCTTCCATTGAATGAACTCAGGAATCGAGAAAATATGCAAGAGTACTCCTGATACTCATCTGGACCTTAAATATTCTTACTTGTATTCCCCTCAAGCTATATTCTGTGTTCTGTCTGTATCTTATGTCGGAGACGGAAACTCCTTTTGTCCCCTCACTTCTCCGAATCCGTCCGGTCCACCCCTCCTCGTCCACATTCTTACGGACTATCTCCTGGCCGTATCACACGAATGAAACAAATGTCCTCAAATACTTCCTAAATGCTGTACCTTCACGGTAATTAGAGAACCTAGCATGCTTGTCCTGTTTAAATCGCAATCCTCATACGTAGCTGCGACTGACCTCACACGTGGCCGATCGTTTCTCCTTGTTTTTTTGAACTAAAATCAATTTGAATGCAGTCAATTTAGCAATTGAATATGACATCAATTTTTTGTTGCCATGCCTAGCGCTGTAATGAATAGTAGCATGCTCTCTGTTTCGGTCGATTTAGAGAACGAGTCGAAGGTCGAGCTTCGGAGGCGGCCTTCGGGCTCGGAAACTTGGCATAGCTTAAGCTGCTTGCTCTTTATGTGTGTTCTGAACGGAATTCGGTATCGGGGGTAAGTAGGATCTGGTCACATTCCCAAGTAGAAGATTCGTATAATGCCAGTTGATGTCGTACCGATCTCCATTCGACCCACTAACCTACCCTGGAAACTCAGGATGCTTAATGTTTCTCAGGCCCACATTGTCTGAGACTGATGCACAGCACCAGCAAACTCCCGTCACCTCGAGTATGTGGCCCATCATCGCCTTCTCTCCTCAACTCTCCCTGAGAAATAAGGAGAATTTTTATGTTTCTGATACCTGGTGGACCGAGATCAGTACAGTTCGTAATAATACAATCGAAAAGATTATTATCACCGCTGAAATTGGAAACTGGAAATCAGTTTAGACGCTAAGACGATGCGTCCGCTGTTTTTTGTCATATCCTCATCTATGATGTATCTCCATTCTCGTTGGACTTGCAGTTAATAGAGCAACACGATTTCATGGCGGTAATCTGTGTAATGAGATTCCGGCAAGCACTTTTGTTAGAAGAGGGAGATATACTTCGTGCCAAAAGTGCGTCATCGCCGTTCGCGAGTGAAACTTTGTTGGTCGAAATCTGGAAAGGGGAGATTACGGAAGTGCACTTTGTACAGATGAGGACAAAAGTCCATCGTCTCAGCTTCGAGTGCTATAACTGCGCAATGGGCAGTGTCTCCAACCTGGTGACGTTCTGACGAGTTAAGTAATAGATATATATACCTATATTTGAACAATGCAAGACAACAAGGGCATTTGGTCTAGTGGTATGATTCTCGCTTCGGGTGCGAGAGGCCGCGAGTTCGATTCTCGCAATGCCCCAGTTTTTGAATTTTGTACATATTTGCCAAGTCTGGGCTGTACGTGTTTGGAAATAGCGGCAAATTCCCTGGTTGCCTCTAAGTTGTAAGTTTTTAGTACTCTCTGATTTCTTCTCTCTAGCCATGTAAGCTTTTTCTACTCAGATCGGTTCTTCATTTAGCTTCAGTCTCCAAATAATGCAAATATCAGTGCATTTGGTGAGAGTCTGCTGCAGATTGCAAATAGATTTGAGTACACCTTCCAACATGCGGCGACGTTATACGACTTCGAAATTAGACCTAGGAAGGTGCTTGAAATGCACATGAATTTTCAGGAATACATTGTTTCAACATGTATATCTGTGAAGGGAACAACGGTATTCTATAAGTGACCTGTGAAGTATCATGTCAGAAATATAAAGAGTAAATTCGATTTCAACCTCAAGTGCCATTTACGGATCAAGGGGTGCAAAATTTAACGGAATGCAGGCATTTTAATTCAAAAGGAATGGTAGCATGACATCTTCTATAATTTATTACATTTAGGGTTAAATCTAAGAGTAAGGAATAATTTTATGCAAGTTCATAAACATCTACTTACGGACGTTATCAACACGAATTGATGTACAAGTTATCTGATTAAAATTATCACACTTGTCTTTGGCCTTCTAATGGGTGGGACAATGACTTGATAACCTACATATCTATATCTATGTACATAAACGGAAAATATTGATTCATATACAATGTATGTATAATCTACCAATCATAAACTTTTACCAATTCCAAGAGCATAAAAAACGACATGGTTCTATCTCGATGTTTCAATAGTTCTCATTCTCAAACTTTATACAAATTAAGAGAACTTATAAAATTGAAGCTAAGATTAATAATATTTTGAATATTGATAAAATGAGAGGAAATGATTTTTCAGATATAATAAATATAAATTTTTTATCTATTTTGAGTCAACATTGTGATCTTTGGATTTGGATAATCGAAGAACGTTCAATGCAATAATAAAGAATAAATTTATGTGTGCGTCTGATATGCCTGTGTGATATAATGAACCATGAGTATAATTATTACACAATACATTCGAAGTAATTGGTGAAGTTGATACTTATTTCTTTTCCTAGAAATCATAAAGGATTAGAAACTCCTTACAAGCAATTTGATACATTTGAATAGTAAATTTTGTTATCCACATACCTACAGTCTTTTACCGACTAGACATAACTTGAGCACGTTCACAGAATGAAGAACTACATTCATTGGTGAATTAGAGTTAGGGATGTGTCACAAGGAACGTCGATTCAATCCAAAATAAATCATTACAAATGATCGGAAATTAAAAAGTATTCTAAGCGAAAGCGGCAAAAACAGCGTTCGATTATATCACTACGCTATAAAAGCACAATAAATTGGGAGCTTGGCAAACTGTGAGACTTGCCAAAGTTGCTTTGAACACTTCAATTTTCTAGATGAAGCCTCAAAGCACCAAGGAAAAGCAGCATGCTTTAACGAAGTTTGAAAAAGGCCTTTGAGAGATATTATTCCTTCTAATCAAGAAATAAAAGGTAATAAATGTAAAACAGAAATAAATAAGAAATACCAGCCTTGTCTTAAAGGAGGTCACTCTGCTTATCTACAGAAAACGTGTAGTAACGGTTGAAGATGGGACTTGTTCCGTCTAAGATCGCCCACGGTGTAGAATACTGGAATTCTGCTACCGACGGTCGGTACCCTCCGGACGGATGGACGGACCCCACGACTCCGTTCAACGCTTCAACCACGTAGAGCTCTGACTTTCCAGTGAGTCCATCACGCTCGATTCAGCACACGCTCCATATTCTCGAATCTCTCACAGATATGCCATCTCGACGGCCGCCAGCTGTTCCCTGACCCCGGACCCCCGCCGAACCGTCGATGTCGTCGGTACCGGACTGGCGCGGGGAGCGTGGAGGACCTCGAGCCCGAGCGTGCCTGAAGAGAACCATAACGAGCCCGAGGCTCCCCCTCCCCAACCCCGGCGCTGCAGCGCAATTGGAATTGCCGATTTCTTCCAGTCCGGGGACGATGGCGCTGGCCTGGACGCCTTCGAGGAGCCCGTCGGGCGTCGGGGGTTCGACGATCCGGAGCTCCGCGAATTGGCGCCCCGCGTCGAGCCCTTGCGCGCTGCTCGACGGGCGCCGGTGGCAGAGCGGAGGAGGAGGAGGAGGAGGAGCAGGAGGAGGGGTGGGACGAGACGTTGCGGCTCTGAGGGTCGGGCAGCGGGCCGAGGGGCCCGCGGGGTACCGGGCGCTGGCTGTGAGGGCGCAGAGGAGCCGTTTCTTCAAGAAGTACAAGGATTCGTCCAAGGAGACGGTTCAAATGCTCGTGAAGGTGTTGTGCAAGAGCTCGGATTCTGCCGAAGTGACGCTCGGTAAGCACGGCCGATGGCTGAAGCCCCCGGACTGGTTCGAGGTAATGGACGGGCTGGGGAAACGTCGCCGGTGGCAGCTGGCTCTGGAGGTGAGAGTGTGAGCAGTGGAGGTGGTGGATATGGCGTGTCGATGATTTTTCAGTTCGTCTTCTGTTCGTCTTTTCGAATTTTCGCGATTTTCCTGTCGACCGAGAACGCTGGATTGAATCCTACCTGCCGTGTCGTGTCGAATTTCGTTTCGTTTCGTTTCCGTGGGGTTGAATTGGTTGATATGGAGTCATTTTTGGCCATGAATTTTTATTTGTATGCTCTGAGTTCCTGCCGCTGAATGATTACAGATTCTCTCTCTGTCTGTAGTCGGCAGCAGCTCTGATCAATGTCCCAAGTCTTCTTGCCCCAAGTCGAGTGCTGCGTCTTCGCACCTACTTTTGGAGCTTGTGTAGCTCGCAAGTGCGCTCAGAATGTGAAAGCTCAGAAGTTTTCGTCGGAGCGGGAGCATCTTTTCATTCGAGATTTTGTGTACTACTTGTATGGACCAAAGCAAGCATCCTCTCACCCGAGTCGTACGAATTTGGTGGATGCAGGTATTCAGATGGATCCAAATGCAGAAATGGTACAAACCGGACAATGGGTACTACTCCAAGCTCATTTCAATTATGGGTAAGGAGGGCCAGTACCGCCTCGCCATGTGGTTGTTCGCGGAGATGAAGAAGATGGGATGTCGTCCGGATACGTCCCTTTACAATTCCGTAATGGGAGTGCATCTCCGCAGTGAAGACAAGGAGGTGGGTTTTCAGAAAGCGGCTGGTTTGCTGGAAGAAATGAAGTCGAAGCGATCCTGTCAGCCGAATGTTGTGACTTACAATATTCTCATCCGGGCTGCCGCTCAGCTAGGTCATTATGACAAAGTGGACGAATTGTTCAGAGACTTGTTTGACCGGGACCTGGTTGCCGATCTGTACACATACAATGGGCTCATGGATGCGTATGGGAAAGCTGGGGAGATAGTGCTGATGGAGGAGACGTTCAAAAGGATGAGGGGGGAAAAGCTGAAGCCAGACCTCGTGACCTACAACACTTTAATAGATGCTTATGGCAAGGCGGGAGAGCTGTTGAAGATGGAGGCAGTTTTGGCTGGAATGTCTGGACCTCGGAGGGGAGGAAGCTTACATCCCAGTGTCAAAACTTTCAATTCCATGATCACAAATTACGGTAATGCAGGAATGTGGGAGAAATCAGAGTGGGTCTTCCAGGAGATGCAGAAACTGGATGTCCAGCCCACTACCGTCACATATGAAGCTCTGTTAGGTGCTTATGGCACCTCGGGAATGTTCTCTAAGATGAAGGAGTTGGTGAAAACCATGAGGATGTGGGGCCCTAGACCTGAAGCCTGTACGCTGAATCGGATGATTGACTCTTACTGCCAGCATGATATGACGGACGAGGCTGAGGCTCTTTTGAAGAATTCCATGGATGAATTCGGTGTGTACCCTACTTCTTTGTCTCACGGCATCCTTATTCGTCATTACAAAATCGTTGGTAAGGTGTCAAGGATACCCCCGCTGTTGGATCAGATGAAGTCCTGGGGTTTGAAACCAACCAAGCAAATATACCTGGACGTGTTGGAGTCTATCGGGGTGCAAGTGGATTACAATGCAGAGCAAGCTGGAACTGACTTTTCCTCTTCCGAAGGCGAAGAAGATGTTGAGGAGCTGGCCGCACCTGCATCAGAAAGTGAGTCTGATCCTCAGTCACAGTATATGGGAGTGATGGCTGGGATTTCAGTGTGAGCTTCACAAGAGGGATTCGGAGTCTCTACCACGCATATACGTTCACCGATGCTACATTCTTCAAATTCTATGCCGGAGCATACGCACCTTATGCTGCCTCATTTTAGCGACTCAACTTGTTGAAGCCCCATCATGTGGATTCGCTTTGGAAAACGTGATAACATTTGATAAGCGAGGTATTCTTCTCATTGACCATATGACCCATTTCATCACCACGTGCACAATGTAGTCTTTACAGCAGGAGAAGGTTTCAAGGCACTTACACCAGCCATCGAGCAATGTCGACTTTATTCTATCAGCAGGTCTCCCTCATACTCCAGCAGACGAGCTGTGGCAGAGCATTCATCTATGCCCGTTGATGTATGCCCGAGGTTTGCAGCATGTGTCTTACGACAGTTTCAACATGTGGAAAGAAGATCATTAGTTGAGATTGTAAGCCCTTGAGGGATCAAATCCCTAAAGGTGTTTATTTTTCTTGCTGGAGAGGTAATTTGGATCCCCTTGTTATGCATTGTAATTATAGCTGTAACGAGGACGACCGCAGGCAATTTCTAGTACAGAAGCACCCCTGTGCTTGACTCCGTGTACAGATGCGGTACGAGCTTTAGGGGCACTGGGCAGTCGCAGTTCACTTTACAGAGGCCCAAAGTACTTGTAGAACTTAGTGTTCTGTAAAACTAACCATTTGTGTCTTCAAGATTCGACCATCTTTGGATGGAAGTGCGTAGTGATGCTAAAGGCTCCTGCCTCTCCATGTGTCTCTATGTAGAAACACTGATTTTTGATGCTCGCACCCGCCTGCCTGGATCAAAGGTGTTGTCATGAACCGATTGGACTTTGATTACCGACGATCTAGTGAAGAGCATCTTACACCGGCTACTTGGCTTCCAAACACGAGCTTCGTAAATGGTGGGAGTCCTTGCGGTGTATGACTTGTATCTTTAGTGTACAGCAGACAATGCCTCGAAGGCTCACCCACACATCTTTGTAAATCTATGAGGGATGAGCACACATTATTTCAGCAAAACATGGAGACTCTCCGTGGTAAATGTAGGCTAGGATCGTGCTCATGCTTGACGATGTGATCTTCTTACAGTAGACTTAACCACAGTGATTTATAGGCCTAAAAGGGCGTTGTTTGTACCAAATGCTATCAATAAATTTTTCAGCTGGGTCAGTCTATTCAAACTTTGCGGCTAATTATTCTTATGTAGCGATCGAGGAAACGGGAACGTTGAATACTTGTGTATCCTATAAAACTAAGGTGTCGCTAGTTCCTCACTGCAAGTCGCAGCTTTGAGGGAGCTTTACGCTGATGGTAGTAACAATGGCCAGTTTCTGTGCATCAGTAAACTAATTATGTATCTCAAGGTGCACACTCTTTCCTGCCAGGCCAATCTCGGATTTCGCTCTTTCTTACTTATGGAGCTCCACTGCCGGACAGTATCAAATAGCAGTGCGTCAGTAAAAGAATTTTCGAACGTTCAAACGTTATCGAAGTCAAGAGATAGATGTTGAAGTGCAGGGATACCTATCGTGAGTTGATCGATGGATGCATGTCATATTCATGTCACATTCGGTTAAACTCCCTGACAAAGCATCAACTTCCTGAACTCTCGTCGAAACAAAAACCACGCTCTTGTACCACGAAACCAATGAAGAGTAGTAGAGTATGTGATAGTCTGATGGTCTCGAACGAGAGTTCTAACTAAGTGAATTTGGTACATAAGAAGCTCCACTCAGACATGAGCTTAATCTGTCGAAGGTCGTATTGTCAATGTTCTTTTAGTTTGTTTTCGTTTTAAAACTTGATTGGTGGTTCTTTCTTCTTTCTTCTTTCTTCTTTCTCTTAGCTAGCACCTTCTATAATGTAGTCAGATGTTTAAGTGTATCTTGTCCTTGGATTCTACATCTGAAATGCTCTTGTTTAGTTAAGTGCGTTCTTTGTAGCTACTTAGAGATCATTTACTTTCACAGGGTTCAGCAACTCGTATTTATGCTCGACTACTTCGAAGATACACTTAATTCATGTGATGCGATGAAGATAGCCCAATCGTAATGGTTGGTCAGAGCTATTGCCATCCAATCTTGAAGTATGCCTAGAAGAGAATCTTCTCTGCAACAATAACATGCAATGCGATCTCACTGTATCTAATAGATCAGATTGTAACCAATAGTTCGATCACAGGGTTGTCAAGAGGACCCGAAGTAATATCGGAAAATGTCAGTTGGACTCAAATTAAATTACATTCTATGTCCATATATATATTGCCGCACTTCTGCTGGGAAACTTTGCTACTGCAAAAATTTCCGATGAAGATGATGATATTGTCAATCTCAACTCACACCCAGTTGCTTTGGAGCTGTATGGTGTGACTTGATGAGACATGGATAGCTTTGTTACAGTGTTGCTGGGCATTCTCATGATCATAGAATTGGTGCACAGTTTTGTTCTCTTTTTGGATCCAGTAATTTAGACAGCATATATGAAAATCATCACCTGGTTTGCAATTTTACATATGTACTTCCATCACTCGTTGATATTATACATCTCCCACGATCAACATTCAATCATTTTGAACTCTGAAGCTTGTCTTCAACTTGGGCTATCTTTTTTTTGCATCACAGTATTCAGTCTTCACTAGAAGAACTCATTATAACTAAAAGGGAAGTTATGTACTCCTCAATAATCATTCTTTTTTGGATGAGTCGACTCAGTACCGAGGACCTACTTGGTCTCAAAGCTTAACTTGTAAAGCACATTCTATAAGGTGAATTTTGTCAATCTTTAGTCTCTTTCCTGCACCTCGTGGGTCACAGGAATTCTTCTCCGTGGCCATTCGATAAAAGCTAATATCTTGCTGGGAGCGACAAATTGGCAGGCTTCGGATCACCTTCAAAACATCTGCTGGATTGTCTCAATAATATTAACAGTAAACTTTGTGAAATGAAAATTATATGGAGGTGTGGGTCACAGGAATTCTTCTCCGTGGCCATTCGATAAAAGCTAATATCTTGCTGGGAGCGACAAATTGGCAGGCTTCGGATCACCTTCAAAACATCTGCTGGATTGTCTCAATAATATTAACAGTAAACTTTGTGAAATGAAAATTATATGGAGGTGTGGGTCACAGGAATTCTTCTCCGTGGCCATTCGATAAAAGCTAATATCTTGCTGGGAGCGACAAATTGGCAGGCTTCGGATCACCTTCAAAACATCTGCTGGATTGTCTCAATAATATTAACAGTAAACTTTGTGAAATGAAAATTATATGGAGGTGCGGGGTATCGATCCCCGTGCCTATCGCATGCAAAGCGATTGCTCTACCATGTGAGCTACACCCCCGCGATGACTGAGGTAGATACAAATTAAAATTTGTACATTCATTTTTTTGCGAAGGTTTTTTGAGAGGGTACGGGAAGAACCCATTGTGCCTTGCAGGTGTGTAAGGAAACCGGAGTCAGCGGACGTAGGCAAAATTATCGAGAGAATAACTTGATGGACCCCCTCAGAATGCGTAAGTTTTGATGGGACCCAATACGTTATATTTTACCCCTTGGGATCCTTCCCGACGGCAGATCAGTCCACCGTCGCCGATGTTTTACTACGAGTTCTTGTAACTGCTTTGAGTCCAGGTTAGTAGAAGCACTGTGGTCGTTTGTTAAGAAGTGACTTCTCCCCGCAGGCAATTCACGGACCAAAATAGGAACCTAACGAACTGCGGCCAAGAGTTTTAGGAAAAAAAGTAAGGAGCAAGTAAATTACTCACATACATTATAATTGAAAAAATAGTCTCTCCCATGATGAAATCTGAGTAACTGATATTGGAGAATTTCATTTTTTTAATTGAACTAGAAACAAAGCAGTTACAAGAACCCCTATGAAAACATAACTGAGGGTGAATTTAAGTGCGATTGGGGGGTCCATCAAGCATTATGCGTTCTGATGGTCCCATCAAGTAATTCTCTCCAAAATTATCCCAACGGAGGAGATTTCCAGAACTCGCGTGTGAACGGACGCGATGAGTTCAGGGACATTTCCACATCCATGTTTGCAGAGAACTGGGACCGGGCAAACGTGGAAAAAAGTCCAAAAAGGCAAAAGCTGACAACAAAACTCACCGGCCTCACCGGGCTGACCAGTGACTCCATCCCCAACATCCGGTCCACATGAGCATGCCACATCATCAGAGAATGGCTGACACCGTCCCATGTGCGCCTCTTACCGTACCCTTAAACTTACAGTCCCCATGCCCTCAACTTGAACGACCAGTACTGTACAGTACGTGAATACACCTGGACTAGAGGTGACTCAGATTCTGCAACATATGAAGCCTCTTTTCCAGTCCTAGTCAGCCTGCTCTCCCTTGTCTAAAATTCCGAGATCTTAACTCGCTTTATCATCGTTCTATCAGTTCGTATTTGACTTTCGATATATGTTAACTTTAATATTTAATATACAATCAAATGTTCACAAGATTAATATCTCACATGAATAAAGTACAAAGTTGAATTCGAAATCTTCCGAGAATGCAGTTATAGAATAATAATTTTTTAAAATAAATATATCTATTATTATTTGAAAAAAAATATAATGAACCTGCATCCACGTACAATGTGCGTCCTGACCGGAGAGATCAGACGCACGTACTTAGGAGAGAAGCTTTAATTAATTATCGCACTCCGAAGTGTGAGAGACCATTTGTAAACGGCTGCGTCCGATGGGTTTTTCACCTGACCTGCGTCCCAACCTCGTGAGGGAGCTCCACGCGTCACGTCATGGACGGCAGGCTGGAAGCACGCTGCGGGCCGCGCCTGGGCCCCCGCAGCGGAGCAGTACTTCCGGTACAGTAGGCAGAAGCGGCTGCACTTCGAACCTGGAGCTGCAGCAGCGGCAGCGAGTCGGAACACGAGACTCTGAAGGTGGGCGCGCCTCGGGAAGCGGGGAATCAGAGCCCGCTAGTGCTTCATATACGAGAGACAAGAAGTGTGGTCGAGGAGTGGCCGCAGAATTCGCTGCGATTGCTGGTCGGGGTGGGGTGTCGTCGAAATCGGGGTTAGAGTTGGGAGGAATTTGAAGGCCCGGAGATGGCGACAGGGGATTCGGTCGGCGATTGCGAGCTCGAGCATCAGCATGGGAAGGCGCGGGTGCGAGTGGCGCGGGTGTGGCATGAGGGGAGCTCTCATGTGATGGTGGAGTGGTCCGTCTCCGTCTCTCTGCGGTCCAAGACTCTGGCAGCTTACACGGAGGGGGACAATTCTGCCATCGTTGCCACCGATACCATCAAGAACACGGTCTCCTCTCTTCCTTCTAAACTGCTATGGCTCTTGGCTCCACATGATGCTTTGCATGACACTGTACCAGCACAGTCTGCTGATTTTGTCCTGTCTTTGAAATCATTCGAAATCATTGAATCTTGCTGAAATTGCCGATAAAATTTTTTCAGGTCTATGTGTTAGCAAAAAGGTGCAGCGAGACTACTTCGATGGAAGAGTTCGGCACTCAGCTGGCAGAGCTCTTCTTGAACACCTATTCTCAGGTTTCTTCTCGAGACCTACATGTACCTCATATCTATTGCATCTTCATTCGATCTCTCTCTTTTGCTTTAAGATGACGAGAATCGTATGAGGAAGGGCTCATCGTTGTATGGAATTTTTACTTGTCTGTGAAATGTACATCGTTACTGTGACGAGCTGGTTTATTATTGTTCAACCATTCCTGAGAATGAAAAGACTTCTCTTTCCCACCGCGTGAATTTCATGTCCTTTTTGCTCGAGCACATGAAGACTCAATGTCAGAATCCTTTTGCAGGTGACAGGTGTCCGTGTAAACCTCACTCAAAGACCATGGGAGCGAGTGTCTCTTGACAACACACCACATGAGCATGGTATGTGCGAGCATAAGATTTTTCGCTTTGAAGAGTTGTATTTGTCATAAGAAATCTGACCAAATATGATTGATGGTGGTTTTCACCTGAATCAGGGACGGAATTTACCCCCACAGATTAAAGAAGTATGTAAGTGTATGTTTGTTCAGACACACCCTTGATAGGCAGCATGGTTTGCAAGACCTATGTCAGCACGCAAGTTCTAGTTAGCGGTTCAAGGTTAGGAGCATGAATTGAACCTGGGAACTATCATGAAGTGAGTCGAAGGGAGCAGATGGTGTTCGGTCTCGCTACGTGGATTTTCTGGTCAGACTAAGTCGCTTCTCTTGTTGGAATCGAACGGGATGGAGGAATTCTTATATTGTGCGTCAGCTGTTAGTACTTTTGGAGTCCTCGATAATGGTTTGACACCGTGAACTTTTGATCGTGTGTTTTTCAGGGTTCAAATTGGGATCAGAGAACCGAACAGCTCAGGTTCTTGCCACTAAAGATGGAAATCATAAAGTTACTGCCGGCATTTCGGATTTGAGTCTGTTGAAAACAACGAAGGTTTCTATCAGCTGCCTTTGTCTGTTCTTTTCATTTTCGTTTGGAATTTTTGCAGTATCAATAATCTCGGTGAATCAATCTTTTTGAATTATCAGCTAACAATGATCTTACTGACGTAATCTGTCGTTCCAGTCTGGGTTTGAAGGGTTTGTTCGCGACAAGAATACATTGCTTCCTGAAACAAGGGAGCGAATGATGGCATCATCGATTCGTTCAGTTTGGAGGTATTTTTTCAAGTGTTTCAAATGTCTGAGCCAATCTATCAAACAGAAGCATTTAAGATTGACACAATTTACGTCTTGATATTTCATCCATGTTAAAACATCTTTGAAGAGAACACTACGCAAAAAATTTCACGCAAAGAGACGGATCTAGACCTACAGATTTTGATGCGTACGATTATACTACCTCAAATTGGATGATCGTGTATAAAATTTGTTTCACTTCAGCCACGGATTAGTTCATCGAACTGGAATGGATCAGATCAGCCAGATCAGTAACGTACGCACATTTCTGAAATTTGATACATTTCTGTGAAACAGCTACTCAAAGACACCTTTGGATTATAATGAGACCCATGCAAAAGTGAAGAACATTTTACTCAGTACATTCTTTGGACCATCCCGAGGTGGTGTGTACAGCCCCTCTGTACAGAACACCCTCTATCTCATGGCGAAAGAGGTGTTACTAAGGTCAGTCTCTGGACAGTGGAACATAAATAATGACCTACGATATCTATGTTTGTGACTGTGTAATCAAGATTTCTGTTTCTCTTGATTAAGCCCATCGGTTCTTAACTATATTCCTCGTAAGTTTTTTATTATTGGGATGTTTTCATAATATGAGTCACACAGTCCCAACTACAAACGGATGTTAAACTCATGAACGTAACTTCTGCTCTTCCTCGTGCTGGTTCTAACACTTTTTGTTCACATGAACAGAGTTCCAGAGATTGAATCCGTGTACCTAAATATGCCGAACATTCACTTTCTGCCTGTGAACATGCCGTCTATCGGGATTCAGGTACTTCGTTACAGTTTTGTCGTCTTCTATCTCATCTGATGTATGAATTAATGCTATCCATTCATGCCCGACACAACACCGGCAGGGGTTGAAGATTGAACAAAACATAAATAAGGCATTGAAACACGCGAGGAAGATGCATGTCACTTCCTGTTGACAGTTCTTGTTAGACCAATGCTGTTCCTGGACTTTTGTCCTCATTTGCATGTCATGGACCAGGTGGTCAAGTGCATTTGTAGGGGAAGAAACTACCTCTCCACTATATGAACAGTAGTATAGAATGCACTGTCAAGTTCCATAATGATTCTAAATCATCGCGCTAAGCGTTTCTTTTGCTAATCTTGAACAATATTGCGAAGATGCTTCTTTCAGTTTATCGCTGTCGGGCTCTTTCAATTTCTCTTCAAATCACTCAAAAAGCTATTGCATCTGTCCTTGTGCAGTTCAAGGATGATGTTTACCTACCAACGGATGAACCCCATGGATCTATCGAGGCGACCTTGCAAAGGAAGAATCTTCCCACATCCAAATTGTGATACAGACTCTGTCTGCGGTGGGGCCACGCATGCAGTTCTCGATGAGGAGCATTACTCCTGCAGCCTATTTGTGGGCGTACACCATCATGTGATTCAAAGCATCGCCTCCCTGTGCTGGTGTAGTTCTGTAATTAAATGAGGGCAGTCATGATTGCAAGGAATATCTGTATGATCTTCATCGTCCGCATAACCATGTATATATAAGAGTCATGTAAACGTGTAGAGCGGTCAATATCCGAGTGTGCGTGTACAGCGTGATCTAGTTCTGGCATGTAGTATACGTCAAAAAAGGCACCATGATCTTCATCGTCAAATGCCGAATCCAGAATAGAGATGACGATCGTTATGGGCTCGCAACATTGCCATCTCTGATCAAGGGTCGTTGGTACTAAAGTGCCCGTGAATATCATTGTTGATACTCCATTCATTTCTTCTCAGATTGTGAATAAAGGGAACATTCTGCTAATGTTGGCAACCTTGCTGCAGTGGGCTCCGTGAGTAGTGGCTCATGTGTTGTACTAAGTATGCCAATTTAGTTATCTTCATAGTGATGTTCTTCCTCTGATTGTGGAATTGCCCCAATTCGATATTTGCCATGTTGATCAATGATCCTAGGAATCGTAACATCCCAACTGATGAGGTAGACAGAAGCATACAGCAACCGATGTGCACAAGCAGATCTCAAGCCAGACTAGCCGTAAATGTGTGTGTATTTCCAGAACTCACATATTCTGGATCGATATCGACCCAGAAATACAAAATCTGAGCACAAATCTGTGAACTTCAGTGTGATTTCTCTGCCATCTACTTATGTTCATTGTCATAATTTCTAATCTCTCTTATTGCCTACAACAGGTTGGCAGTCATGACGGACACAATTGCCATGCATACCAATGAGATGCCGAAGCCCTGCACTCCTGATCCGAACATAAATGGCTGCAACAAACTTGCCGAGTTTTTCTTCCCTGCAAGTGTACACCACGAAACGTTTCAGCGTACCCCAAGATGCCAAATCTCCTTCACTGACATCATTACAACTTCTTCCCGTAGAAAGGATCCAACACCAAACACGGAAACTAGATTCATCGGTACTGTCTAGAGCAGCGACAAAACGTGAACAGGAACTTGTGGAGGAGCTCTGAGCTTCGGTTCACCTTTGACGGCCTGGAATGCGATCGGCGAGTTAAGAATGGATGTGGTGTTGACTGTGATCTTGGCAAGATAGTTGCCAACTTTCAGGGGAACGATGATCGCCTCGTAGTAACCGTAATCACCCTTCGTATCTACAGTGATGGGTTGCCCCAGACTAACCTTGCTTCCATCGTCTGGATTCCATGTAATCTGAGCGCACACTCTCGCACGGAGGAGACGACATTGTCAGTGGCAATAGTGATTCCATCATTCCACAGCAAACCTTTGTCGACTGACGGACTGACTGATTGACTGACTGACTCGCTCGTCTGAGCTTCTTTGGTGCAGTGTTCAGAGAAATTTGAGCTGATTCAGGCATGAAACATGGCAAGAGCAGTGTTCCAATGCCAAGTGGTCCTGATGGGCACACATTTGGTGTTTTCGGTCCGTGTCTTTCTCAGCCTGCAGTTGGATATTCAATATATTCTTCCACTGGAGGTGTATGATGGATGATCTCCAAGTCAGTGAGGCGTATGGGAGCATCTAGAAAGGATGGAGTATTGAGGAAGATAAGATGCTGAGAGTTGAGACTAAGAACGAGGGAGGGAATCTTAAGGAGCACCTCGACATTGAAGGGAATGATTGGTAATCCAGGGCGACCAGTCTTTGATCCAACTGTGTTGTTCCAATCGTCCATCAAATATATCAAAAGCGAGTTGTCGTAACCTAAGTAGACTTTGTTCGTCCCGTTCTCAATACTTCCCATGCACTTGCTTATGTTGATATCTCCTGCGAGGCCAGATCAGATCGGATCAATTCAGATCAAACGAACGGAGAGACTGAGCATGGCTCATCTCCCAATATCACCATCAGAGTTCAGTACTTCCCAGAATCTTGATCCAGCCTCCCTCTCCCTCCAGTAGAACTTGAGCTTTGCAGTTATACACTCGAGGCCTTCACGGATCTCTGGATTTGTCAATCAACGTCCGAAGAAATCCGGAGATCCGTGAAGGCCTTGAGTGCATAACTGCATAAATCTCTCGCATAATCACATAATATAAAGTAAGGTCCCGAAAGGCAGACTCGCACTGACAATGATCCAGTGCATTGAACATTATTCGTCGTTAATGGCAGATTCAGCAAGTGGGAGGAGGTTGCTCGAGGACAAGCAATGTAACTGGACGATTTCTATACTGTCCCAGAGGCTTCTGCTGGCTGGCTGGGAACACTGAGGACAAAAGGGACTTGTGGTGAGGTGTGGAATGGTGTGTCTGGTGTTTGTACCTGCAACGAAAGTGACGTTGGAGGACTTGCTGGCCAAAGTGGCGTTGGTGGTTGGATCCGATATAATCAGGAGAAGCGTGTAACCAGAGTGCCCTGCAAGCGAGTTCGTTGGAGTACAGAGTGTATTCCAATGGCCCGTGCCCATGCCCTGGTTCGTTGTATTTACGCACTGTAATCCGGGAATGGCACTGGCATTCACTCCTTGGCCAACAATCTGAACAAACCATTCGAGACATTCCCTTCCAAGTATCAGCCACTGGGAGAATCTCACACTGTTAAGACTTGGTGGGTATTCTTTTGCAAGGATTTTGCTAATTCTTTTTTCTTCCCTGCGTTGTGAGAATTGAGTCGAAGGGAGTGAGGAAGGGAGGGAGGAGGTGGAAGTTGGGATTCTGATTGATGCAGTACCGTCAGAGTCGGGCTGCCGTCATACGTAGTGCAAGACGTACAGGCCGTGGAGCAGGAGGTGTTCTGAGTTTTGCAAGTGTCATCTTCGCATTCCAGCGTCCAGAGGGTGACGGTGACATTGTTGGCAACCCCCTCGCGGAGACTGACGGAGCTGCTGCCAGCTGCTATGTCGAAGTTGCTGCAGTACGGACTCAGCGTCGATGCAGCAGCTGCAGCATTCGCCGTCGGAAGGCCGGCGGAAAGGAAGAGAAGAACAAGACCTGCAGATCCAAACCCCATCACTTTTCACCAGATTCTTCTCAATTTCACCCCCGAAACCGAGGAAGTTCATTCTTCCCTATCACGAGAATGGCGAACACCTGGAGATTCCATGAAGTATACATGTTGAAAATAAAATCTTATTGAACACTGATGGTAGAAGACAACAGGGTGTACCAAAGATGTATCTGCTCTTGCCGATCTCAGGTTGAGAGAGTGAGAGGAGGCGTGTCATCTCGTCTCATCTCATCTCAGTGTTGCAGAGCAGGTTGTTGTTGTTGGTGATCCCATCAGGGTTCTTCAGGTCAGACTCTGGATATTAAAAGGGTCCAAGGTCAAAATTCCATTCCCTCTTACATAAATTGAAGGAATCAGAAGAAGAGCTTTTCATCTTGAAGCCATATCTCATTTCATCTCATTTCACTTCATGTCAGAGAGGATGAATAAAAATTTTGGGGTCCACAGGGTCGCTTCCTTCAAATGATCCGATATGTCGCACATGCATGGCAAATTATTTTCTGATTCAAATTTTTTGGATCTGTGGGACAATTTCACATGAGCCCAAATTTTGTGACCAGCATCTACACTCAGACAGACAACCATCACATGGCCTCGTAGAACAAGGAACGCAGGGTCACAGATCAGTCTTGGCCGGACTTCTCATTATTATATTGGTGGCACACACAAGGAGCCATCTTTCCTTTCTGTAGAGGATGCGATCGTGATCAGACTCCCAGTCCTTCTCCATCGTCGTGAATTATGCCTCACAATCTGGCGCCTGTTGGTTCACGAGTTGCCGCAGGTCTACGTTTTTATGCATTTCCGTGTTTCTCTGTGAGTTATGCGCAATTCTTTTGGAGGCACCGATCACGCTCGCAGTACAGGGAAGCGGGTAGGACCCATGCTATGGCTGAAGCCTGTCACTGGCTCTAACACATGCACCTCAGCCGCTCCGATCTTAGCTGAGTTTGTCGTCCATGACGAGGACCATGATCATGATTATGATCACACATCGTGTGGGTAAAACTTGTTGACTTCTTTCTCAAATCTTGTCTGAGAATCTGAAGACGAATGCTAATTTCGCAAGGGCTGATTGTAGTGTGAGGAAGAAGGGGCAATTCCGGTGCAATCTCACTGACCTCAAATAAATAACTGAACTCGTGGTCGTTATCGACGAGACCTCAGAATTATCTCTCTCTCGCAAGACGAAAGCTTCAACGATCTTCGCAGCGAAACTCGGAATGTTCATGCCAATCTCGAAAGCGTCCTGACATTCAAAACCTCAGCTGCTATTCTTTCACCAGCCGACACAAGAGCCGTAGGCAATTTCGACTGTGGCCCTGAGGAAGGAGGGAAAGATGTCAGTGAGAGTCCGCAGAAACGCTAGAAACTCTGGGTCCGAATTCAAATTTCAAGACGAAGAGGACACTCCAGGATTCGGAATCAATTTACCCGATCGACGATCGATCGATGTGATTGGAGGGTGAGGGTGGGGGGGATCGGAGAGAAGCGACGATCGTGCGTGCATGCGAGTCGGAGCCCGGCCACCGAGGAGTCCTCGTCCTGCCGTCGCGCGCATGCACGGGCTCGGCTGGCCAGGCCAGGCCACATGTGATCGAACGAACCATGCGCCAGCTCGAGGCAGGAAAGGGAGCAGCAGCGAGCGGAATCATGAGATCGCAATCGAGGCTGCGGCCTGATTCGGCGGTCGACAATCCACGCGGGGCACGAATCGAAACTGTCCCCGGACCCTGCACACTCTCCGAGCCTAACAGTTAGCCCGACCCCCGACCCCCGCCCCCTGCCCCCCGCCCCACTCCCTGGTTCTTGGAATTTGAACGGGGGAACTGCGACCGGTAGCGACCGCGACCGTGACAGGGGACGCGCGAAACGGCGCCCGGCTTCGGCTCCCGAGGGCTCGACACGTGCCTCGCGCCTGGTAACTGCTTCCGGAGTCAGCTGAAGATAGAGTCCTGTGGCCGTGGAGACGATGGTGCAGATCTGGCCGTCCGATGCTCCGGCAGCTACGGAATGAGTGCATGGGAGTGTGGGGCAGCGGAATGGGGCCGGAAGGCGAAGGGCGGTTGAGGAGGAGCAAGGGCTGGCCGGCCTCGCTCTCTCTCTCTCTCTCTCTCGATCGACGGAGGCGGTTCCCGGGGCTCCGAGTCTACTTGGGAAATAAAAAATTCCTCTACTGATTACGTTTCGGGAGCCATGATTGTGACGAGGAGGAGGAGGAGAGTTTCGGTGGGAGATTTTGGGAGGGAGATTCTGTGGAAATCCGAGGGAGTTCTGTAGCTGGGATTCATCTGCTTCTTGGTCTGGCTGGTCTCCCTCCTCCTGCTGCTGCTGCTGCTGCTGCTGCTGGAGGATTGATGCGCTGTGGCTGCGCTGTATGCTCGATGGCGAGCAGGAGTGTTGGATCTGGATTTCTCGGCGAAGGGTGGGTGGATCTATTTGGCTTTAGCGGTCTTGTTTATGGCGGTTCATTATTTGAGAGACGATTGAATGTCGGATGAATCGGGCGTGAACATGTCTGTGAGTGGCGTGTCGTTGCCGCTGGCGGCAGAGGCAGCAGCAGCGCCGCCAGCCGCTTCTGAATCTTTAGGTCCGGCTTTGGCTGTGTCTGTACTGACGAGCCCCATGGCTCCGTTGGTGTCTAAAGTGGACGATGGGGTCTACTCGATCGGGCCTCTGAAACTGTTGATCTTGTGGAGTGTACCTGCGGTGACACTCTATTTTCTCATGATCCGCTTTGATTCTTCTTGCTCTTCCTCAACTGGTACGTCCCCGTTATGACTCTAGCTCTGCCCACTGCGATAATCGAGACAGTCAGTTTAATTTCTTGCCCCTCGTTCATCGGCAGTGATGTCGCTCCTTTCGTGTGTCTGTTCACGTGATAGCTTCTCAACAATGCAAAGGCTTGCCAATCTGATAATTGCACCATCAGTGGATATCGTCATTCTACCTGATATGATTTAGGGCTTCTGAAATGTGAGAGAGATTCTACAAATGGCATCTTTCCCGGTATGTGCATGGCATGGAACTCTTCGATCCAAACTGATCTGATCTGAAGTAAAAGTCTGAGGTTTCGGTTCTATCTAGATGCAGATGGCGAAACCCAAGAAGGGTGTGGGTGCAATGTGAATATTTTCTGCACGACCCTGCAGACGATCCCTCTCTTGGTCGATGGAACTTCTTCCAGCATGAATAACTCTTCTTCCTTTGGCAAATCATGTCAGCAGATAATTGGCATGAGTGGCCGCCCTGAAATGAGCAAGTCCTGTCTGCAAGGTACATTATAAGCTTGGAGAACACCTTATACGTAGACATGGTCGAGGACATTGGTTATCAGTCAGTAGATCCATGCATATATATGACACCCAGCTCAACTACTCTCCTGATCCCACCAATTATCACGTTCCCCAAAATAATTACAATCCCTAAAATATAAAATGTAATGCCATAATTTTGATGCTGCTGCTGCTGCTGCAGAGTCCCTCGTATGTGCCGCTTGTGTGCAGCACCATGCAACATTTTTAGATAACGAAGACCGGCTCATAAGATCAATCTTCCTGTATCCAATCAAGGGAGGTGGAGCTGGTCATGGCCACAAGAGAGCAATGTTTGCATTCGAAGGTGGTGCTGTCCATTTCGTCCATTGGCAGGTTCATTTTCCTGGCTCAGTCGGAGCAGCAGCAGCTTCTTCTGGCACGAGCAGCAGCAGGAGGAGGAGCAAGCTGCTCGGAAATGGTCAGGTTGAGGGTGAAGATCTAGAGCAGGAGGAAGAAGAAGAAGAAGAATCCTTCGTGTGCCTCGGTCTTGACGCCGAGGTGAGCGGAGTGACAAATTTGTCAGCCTATTTTGAGATGTACCACAGAGGTAAGAACCATCAAGGAGCAAGTTGTGCATTCGCTTGCTGGATGATAATTCTAATGAAAGTTTAAAGTGAAGACCGAATTCAGCTTTGCCACCAGATTCTAAGACTTACAACACATCTTCAGGCCAGGACGAGTGAATCAGATCATGACTCTGAAGCCCTCGACACGAATCTCTTTCAGGAAATAAACCTGCGCAACTGGACCTGAACTGCAGACTCTTGGCCTGTTGTAGCAAGCAACGACCATCTTCGTCGCCTTCATGTTCCTGTCCCTCGCCCTCTTGCTGACGAACCTATCACAATACTACAATCAGTGCCCACGGCCTCCAGATATTCGTCAACGGGGGCTCGTGCATTGCTAGGAACAAGCAAAAAGGTGGGTTGATCATGAACCCTTCGTCCATCTCACTAACAAATATTCACCAATTATAATGAAAACTTGAATAAAAAATTAAAAATCTCATAATGTTTCGAACTCGAATTTTTCGGTAGCCAGACAATTGAGTGCTGAAAACTCAAATCTGAGGTTTAAATAATAATTTATCTGATTTCGCAATAACAATATGGTTGTGTCTCTACACCCCGAACCATTACGCTATAAATATTAAGCAGTTCTAAGTAGTGTGGATCCCGATACAATGGGGTTGCCAACAACTACAAATTTCATAAAACCCAAATATCACTGGATGAGATATTTGTCTCTTAACATTCGACATCATCAATAGTAGATTAGTGTGGGGATAACTAGTCGTTTCGAATAAATCGTTGAGCAGATTATGATGTGAAGTAGTCCACTCTTGCAAGCAGGCACTCACTTTAATTTCTGTGATTTGCTACTTATATCATATTTAACACGGATTTGTCCACAATACCACTCACTCATGAATTAAAGTGGGTGGCACTTTGACACTTGGTGAGCTGCTAAAGTTTGACCTTCATCAATAACACCGTCTCATGAAAGAGGGTAAGTGTACTCGAAGCTCTGGACAGTGAACTAGTTTCCTTGTGACTTGATTGCATGTGGATCCCATTTCTTGATAGCCGTATAGTAGATTTCCTCTGGATTGAAATATTGAATATGATCTGCTTGCGCCACACACTTCTGGACTTTGCTTTTCTATTGCACAGTGTGCTCTTTCTGTGTACCAGCTGTCCAGCAAGATTTCATGGTCTCAATGTAAAGTAGTGATCGTGGGAGGGACTACAATTCGAGGCAATTCATGAAACGGTGTTTCACCTGTCGTTTAAACATAATCATCTGAATAATTTATACTAAGTATGAGGCAGAGAAAGTTTTTGGAGAATACATTGATATCGTAGATAGGTATACTCCAAAAGTCTATTAACCTGTTTTGTTCAAAAGAGATGCTTAGAATCCTCTTTTTTAGTAGTATCTTTTACATGTACTATAAAATACGACGAATTTTTTTTCCCCCAAATTTATATACTTGTGTGTGTTTTGTTCTCATAGGAATACAAGTTTCTACGAACATTTTAAAATTCTTTTGTCCTACATCATGACCACGGTGCTATAGCCAACACTGATGTTCTCGTGTTCATGTGAACGATGCAGGCTCGAGAGTGGGTCAACATGCCAAAATCCCTGCTGGCGTTTCTCACCTGGCACGAGAGAGGCTCCCAGTACAGCGAGTCCCATGCAATCATGCGAGCCTCCGAGGACCACGCTGATCCTTCACCCGGTGCTGGCGTTGGAGCTGCACTTCCTCACTACGCAAGGTAGAATTTAGTTGGTCGTCCTGCATCCATCTCCCTCACGAGAATTGAAGCCTGCATGCCACTGCTGAGTGATCAAGTCTTTCCCCAATATAAGAACAAGCACAGCAGATGAAATTGCAGTATATTTCTATCAGTGCTCATGAATGTAGAATAAAAGGATACCAACATTTTATTTGAATAAAAAACTTAAACAACAGTCTTTATGATGAGCTAAGAATTCACTTAACATTTTTATGAGAATCAGAACTTCTGCATTCGATATTAAGGTGAATGAATTCGCACTCAACAAAGATCGACGCAAAATTAACAAATAGCTCCTGAAGTTGTGCATACTAATCCAATGACGAATTTGATTAACATCATATCCCACTTTTACAACTACATGAGTGTTTGTTTCTCCGTAGAGCTAAAACGAAGAAAGAAATACTTGTGGATGCAGTTAGATAATAATGAATCCAAAAAGAACAAACAATTATCTGATCTTGCGTGACCTCTCAGTCTGAGAGCAATTATAATCTTGCTACTAACTGTAGAAATACAAGGTTTAGAATAGCTAAGAAAAAAGTTATGAATATTAGTACGATCAGAATCAGAAAAGAGTAAAGCATACCATCCTTGGATATATGTTTTACACATACATATTTACGATGAAGAATAAATTATAACGGAGACATGCACGAGAGTGTGGATCACTGGTTAGATAGAAGTGCTGATGGAAGGGTCAGGGGGTGGTGCAGGGCCCGTCAGCTGATGCAGGACTATAACGATGCCCCGCTGCTGTACGACATTCCGCCCTCGCCGCCCCCGCCGCCTCCGTACCCTCCCGCGCCTCCGCCAGATCAGCTCTTGGGCGATCCCTACTTGCCCGCCCCTCCCTTCTCTGAGGTCAGCAGCAATGCCACGTCGGAAGCCAGCCTGACGCCGGTGATTATCGGCCCTACCTTGATCAGCGTCATGAACGTCTCGGTGTATCTGACGGGCATCCTCATCGACGACTTCACCATCCAGCCCCCTCCAAACCTCGACCCGTCCAATGCTTCAGGTTAATTTTTCATACCTCTGAACCTCTCAGATCCAATTTTTATTTCTCCAGTATTTTGATTAAAAAAAATTATATTTCTTGCTAATATATTTGAAAATTATTCACCAAAAATAAGATATAAGTAAACGAAAATGTTAAAATTTTATTTTATAATCAATTTTGACTTTCCGATGGTCGCTGCTTCGATTTTGGTCAATAAGATGTAAAAGGACACCAATCTTTTGGATGAAAGACCATTCCAATAATAAGAGGATTTAATCCCTGCTTCTTTACCGGTCCTCTGAATAATCATGATTTGTGTCCGAAATAATTTCTGGGGTAAGGAAGGGCACTGCCGATCATGAGGTAGGCATGAATTGGCACCGCGGTGCTGACGGGGCGATGATGACACGCGGGCTGCAGAGTACCAGGTGGTGCTGCAAGTGGATGCGGGGTCGCTGATGGTGCTGCTGGACAACGACCTGCTGCCGTCGGTCATGCACCAGGTGGCCGTGGGCAACTTCTGGATCGGGATCTCGGAAGACATCTGGGACTCCGGCGACGACGCGTACGTGCCCGGAGCCGGCATTCAGTGGCAGTGCACCATCGACCGGTGCAACAAGGCCTTGACCTCTCTGTCCTACGGCAAGGGTCTCGGTACCGTAAGTCCCTCCCATTGTCCAGTGTATATCTACACCTCAGCATTCTTTTTGTTCTAGTTAATGAAATAAGGAAATAACAATGAAGTGCAACACTCATCGAAATTCAACATTAAAGTCAATAGTATCAATTGATAAACATTCCATTAAATATTTATTTCTTATCAAAGTTAATTATTCTAGATCACATCATCTAAATTCAAATGATTTATACATAGAATTAGTTTATGTTATTTAGAAAAACACATAACATAAAATAAATCAAACAAGGAAAATTGAAATCATTGTATATTTATACGACTCATTGTTACTAATTTTTTAATGCATAAGCCATAGTGGATGAGAACGAGAATGCATAGTTTGAAATTTCATGTGTACCTAAAGGTCGAGGGAAAATACAACAAAAGCATAATTTATGGATGTGTTGATGTTTCTTGTGTCATCACTATCGGACCTGGTCGAGTTGTGTCACTGAATTTGGCGAAGTTTGGGGTTTGCTCGTGAGAGTTCACAGAGAAGGCGATAGATTAATCGAACGAACCGAGACTTAGGATTGGTGGCAAATGGGAGGTGCTGCAGGGAAGGAAGAGCAAGACAGTTCTGACGATTCTCGTGTACCCGATGGAGAAGAAAGAGCCCGTTGCGCTCGCCAAGGCCATGAAGACTGTGACCATGGAGATCGCCGGCGCAGGAGCCTGGTTCACCATCTTTCGTGAGGCTTCCGTGCCCTCCTCCGCATGAATTTGCTGCTGTATCAGTTTGTCGATTGCATGTGGCTCTTTGGGAGCGACCTGATCGGCTGACGTCTGTCTGTCTGTCTGTCTGACTGGGACCGTGCCCTTGCAGAGTACACGAAGATCTTCTACAGCAGCTCGTTGGGAGTTCTGGGCATGGGACTGTCGTTCGTGATCATCCTTTGCTGCGTCCTCGGATGCTGCGTGTGCTGGCAGAACCACAAAGAGAAGACGTTCAGCAAGATGCAAGTTATTGCAAAAGTCGAAGCTGCAACTTACGATGAGACCAGGGTACAGCCCGTCCTTCCAATCCGGACGCCATCCGCTCTTCCATGAATGATTTCCAATTCTTCGGTTACATCAACAAACACGATCGCCTGTCTAAGATGCGAATGTTTTTGATCCGTCATGTATCACGATCGATAAACCTTACAACATTGAATATCAATCTGACAACAGATAAGGAATGCCTCCTATATTTTGACCTGTTGAAAGATAAGGACCGTAACCAATCCCATGCACTATCTTATAGCTACTTGATACAGAAAACTATAATCAAAAGAGATGCATTCAACGGTGTTAAAGGTTGGAACTCATCTACTTGATCGAAAACAAACAATATCGTTCTGTGTCGATTCCCATTATCAGTTTTTTTTTTAGTTTGTCAATCTATGACTATTGAAAGATGTAGATATTCATGTTCCCACTTATGCAGAGTTATTTTAAAATATTTCATCCTAAATTACCATGAAGTATGAAATCAACAATACATTCTTACTGATATTCTAGAACGGTATAAGTCATGTATTATGTTCAAGGAAAAGAGGTGATTAAATGTACTTGTAACAGAGCAGAAATGGAACTGCTATGAAGTTTGAAAAGTTTATTGAAAATAAGATATGATCCGTATAGAAAAAACATTAAAATTCAATCAAGAAAAATTCTGCAACTGCACTATAAACCAGCTAAATTCTTACTTTATAGATGCAAGTCACATCCCCAAGTTCACAAAGTACAATTTTGGGGGTTTCCTGGATGGTGTTATATTAATTCCCTTCGGTGTAGTAGCACTTTAAGTTCATTTATCAAGATCTATTGTTTCATCCGAAATAGCTATCTATGTTTTGCTTTTGCAGTTAATCATGATAATTGTTGATAGAAATTACTATAATAAATGTTTCCTTGACAGTCACATGGTTAATACACTATTTCTATATTTTGGATAAAGGGTTAAAGTAGACGAAAATGTAACATGCCATTGGGTATGTTCATATCATTCGATCAGCTTGAAAAATGAGATCTGTTCAATGAGAGTGGTCTACGAGATGAGATCTAAATGCGTAATGCATAAGATAGAAGCCTACATCGCTTAAAAATTTACTGTGACTTGGTTATGCAAAATCTCAGTTCGTGGTAGTTGTGGTATAAAAAGACTGAAAACACGTCTGAATCAGGAGTCTGCGTATGGCTTCTAAATCTTCGTCGCCATCAAATTTCGAGTTGATTTTCTCCTATTATCTGACCTTTGTGGAATGTCTGGTCAAATCAATTATATGACAAAGACCAACCATACATTCAACACAGTTCGTTCGACATGACTATTCAATGTTGATGTTAACTGATGGTATGTCTACACCCGCTAATAGCATTTGATGGACATGTAGGTTTTCAATCCCTTTTGGATTCCAAGTGCTGCTGTGAAGGCGGGTGATGAAAAGTTTTCCATTACTCCAAATCCTAGGTTCCTTCAGCAGCTTCAATCTGAACACTTGACGAGGTAATATAATGTCTTTCTCTCTCATCACATTGTCATAAATTAGGTGCTGAGCTTCAAGTTAGCACAAAACACACGAAAGAGCTCAATTCAAATGCCATTTGATTGATCATATCATACATTGTCATTCATTTGTAATTTATAAAAAGATTCTGTATTGCTTTGATTATCTGATAAAGTCGATAAAATCTGTAATCTCTTGGGAGAAAATTAAGAACTGGAGAACGCAATGGCAATGACAAAGCTCACGCAATGCAGGTTACAATCGATTGGCGCCGATACAACATTAGAAACGATGCAGTTCCTTGCAGCAGCAGCAGCTGCCGCAGCTTCTTCCACTGACATAAATTTAACGACAAGAGGAGGCGGGGAAGGAGAAAAAGATGGACGTAAGGACTCAAAAACAGCAACGGAGACAACTGTGACACGATCGAGTTTCGGTTCTCCTCGATCATCAGCCTCCGCCTCCAGCAGAACCAGTCACACCAGTCGCACCAGTGGACTCTCTCGAACCAGCACTTCGAGGTCTACCCGTTTCTCTGTCAAAGATGAAGACTCCAGATCTGGATCCCCGGCTGACACGGACGAGTCTGCCAGCGGTACTCCTGCTGAATCTGAAGACTCCGAGTGACTGACCATGACATCTACCAGCTCCGAGTACGACGTGGGGCAATCACATCATGACCAGGCCGCCATGCCTGACTCGTCTGATCTGCCTCAGCAGACCTCTCGCCAATGTGAAGCATGGGACTTTGTCCATCAGATCGAGCCGTCATCGTAGCCAGGTCGATCGAGCTCGAAGATCTGGAAGTCGGAAGTGATATTATGGAGGCTTCAAAATGCAACTGTAATGAAACTGTTGTGATCATGCGGAGTGGAGTGGAGTGGAGTTGATTGTATTGGATGTCTCACCTTTGACCGCACTCACAGACATAATAAGACGACGATGGGAGAAATAGTGGAACTTTAGACAATTTGAAAGTCTCTGAATTTAATTCTGCATGAAATATTATACAGGGCCCTGTCACGTGTGTCTATAATGGGAGGGATATGGTCTCTTGTTGCTTGCATTCAGTCAGAGACTTTGGTCACCATTCACCATTTCGATTATTTATATGATTTCAAACAAGCCAATCACATTTCTCAACTTTTTATCCATTCCAGTAAGTTCATCCCTCGTCATGATCAGCACACCAGTTTGTACATGAAATGAAACACACACACAATTTATTGTTTGAGCAAACTTCAAGTCCAAGCTGGTGCCTCCGTGTGATCTTCTCACCGTGTACACGGGTGACTGATCAGACTCACACACGACTGAGGCCTTGCAGCGTTCAGTAGCAGCCGCAAAGAGAAAGTGAAAAAAAGAAGAGGGAAGTAGAACGTCGTCGCGAGTTGCCGGGACACTCTAAACCTCTAAGATCTAAAACTGCAGTCAAGCATAGTCTCAAAGCTCGTGCCTCTAGAAGCTTCGGAGGTTTGTGCCACCAAACCTCAGAATCCTCGATCGAGGGAGGGCGTCAAAATTGAAGACGATATGTGTGGACCGCAATTGGCTTTGCTATATGGAAGACCATATCTCAAGCGGCGAAGACAGCTGCTGCCGCTGCGATCACCATTGCGCCCCATGGAAGCGCCTCGACGACGACTCCATCGTTCTGAAACCAATCAATCACCAGTGTGCATGGATTTAGGACGTAATCTATCTGATTTTACTGCTGCGCAATCTGCAAACGAGAAAAGTCACCGGAATCCATGCACCGATTAAGGTCACTGTCGAGCAACAACACGTACCGGTGGAGTGGGTTCACCAGCAGGAGACACGTCCGGTGAGTAGATTATAGGCTCCGGTGTTTCGAGAGGTGGAGCAGGAGGCCCGGAATATGACGAGGGAGCTGGAGCAGGAGCTGAGTGATTGTGCTTGTGAGAATGAGGAGGGGGAGGAGGAGGATGGTGATGAGCGGGTGGAGGGGGAGGGTGAGCTATGAGACTCTTGGGAGCTGGAACGGGAACTTCGACTCCCGGGGCAGGGCCAGGAGAAGGGACTGCGGGTTCTAGAGCTGGTGCTGGATCGCTGATGGGAGTGGCGGCGGCGGCAGGAGCTGGAGTGACAGGGAGAGTGGGTGCTGGCACTGGAGCTGGAGTGGAGGTGGGAGGTGAAGATGGAGACGGTGCAGCAGGGCCTGCAGCTGGTGTTGGGGATGGGGTGAGAGCTGGGCCACGTACCGGTACAATCGGGACGGGTCCGCCGGCTGTAGGAGCAGGAGCTGGAGCAAGTGCATCGTCCTCGGCAGACTGGATCACCTCCTTGGGAATCACAGTGATTCTTATTTGCTTCACTCTCGATGAACAATGAGCTTCCGAGTGATTGTCCTCGGCCGAGAATCCGAAGTAAAACGTCCCCTTTGACGGCGCTCTCCACTACAACCAACGGAACGAGCAGAAATCAGATCAGATTCATGTTGCAGACCGATACAAAGGCAACACGAACTCGGTCCACACTGAACATACTCACTGCAGAAAGAAACTCTCGAACAAAATTCAGATACGTGTGATCGCCTCGAGTCCAAAGCATCCAGAGGATTTTACACGTCTCTGATGCACGGACTGCAGAGACATAAGCTGACGACGTACCATGTACTGCCCTTTCCCACTGTCATCGAAAAGAGTCGCATGAGAAAAATCGCAGACGGCGAATGATTGCCCGTCTCGGAATTGCCATAATTTGTGTATCGAACCCTTTTGGGTTGGAGATGGCCACGTACTGGTTTCATCAGCACTTCCTCCTTGTTTCATGTGCATGTGATACGGAGCTCCGGTGCCATAGTAAAAAGCTTTTCCACAGATATCAACATGACTTTATCAGTAAGCAAAGTTCCTCGCTTTCTGTTCAATAGCTACTGCCATTCAGTGACATCATTGCCTTCTTCATGAAGTACATCAAAACATTGCAGTCAATGTCAAACAAAGATACAAATTGGAAGAGCGAAGTGTAAAAGAAGATCCAATCTCAAGGATCGCAGTTATGAGACTTGTCCTTGCTTGCAGTCAACCCCATTACCTATGACGTCGCCAACCTCGACTCGGTGTGACTTTGTCAATGCTAGAGAGTCTGGATCACCAGCCTTACTCCACATGAGATTCAAAACCTTGGCATCTGCTGTATATGATGGAATTACTCCCAATAGAAGGACGAGATAGGTGTAAACGCGGACCAGAAAATCCATTTCTTTTTTCCTGCTTTGAAGGAGCCCCTGGGACCAGAAGTCAGGGTTGTAAGCGTGTGACAGTGTCAGGTTAGCAACGTAGAGTTGTCTTGAAAGCGATTTCATCATAGTATCAAAGTAGAAGTGTATGTGACGATGCATGATTCTGCCCAGAAAACTTCATGCTGTCAAAGTGGTGCTCGCAGCATGCAAATAACAAACTGGAGATTCTGATCTGCAATCTATCAAGTCACTCCCGCTCAACCAGCTCTTGTCTGAGACCAGTGTCATAAATGACATCTACTCATGCAGTGCACTTAGTACCTCCACTTCAGCATTTATGAAGATGCTCTAGTAAGAATTGAGTACAAATGTCAAAGACTACAAGTTAAGCTTGTAAGCCTTTTGCGTTAGTACCACGATAGCTTTGACTGGCAAGGACGACAAGGGAGAAAGATTTTGCAGAAGATGAACAGACGTGACTGTTGTGCATAGTTGCATCCGCTTTCCATATGAGCTGAAACTCATACAGAAAGAGGATGATGCCGACTCCTACCGCTTTGTGATGGATGTGAGTCTGAAGTCCGGCGTCAAGGGTCGAAATTTCCCCCTTGTACAGCAAGGAGCTGCTTCCTTCTACGTCTGCCGCTCTTCAGAAAGTGCTAGCTCAAGTCGCAGAGGAGAAAAGGATCGAGTGCAGAAGCTATCAGTGAGCGATATTCCCGTCGGACCTGCAGCACTTGGAGACCTAGAAGAATGCTTTGACTGCAGAGTGTGGATGGAGATATTGCAGAACTGCAACGCACACTGATTCCAGAATACAATGTCTTGCTTCACTGCAGGAGCACTACTGCTCGCTAAGTACGACGGATGGATGGTCCTTCGCAGTAAGAGGCAAGTAGAGCTGAGAGATGCACCCAGGATAGACCGCAGGAGTTGCTTCTTATACTTAGCCCCAGCGATGGTCACTGCGAATGGTTTGCTAGAGAATGACGACAAAAAAGAAAGCTCACTCGAATGAGGACTCTTCGAATGGTGACGGGCACAACGGCGTGACGTGATCAGGTAGATAATGTGTCTTCACGGAATTGATGCCTGGGTCGTTCTCGTATTAGGTTCCAAGCCTTTTGCAACTATATCTTAGGCCAAAAGAAAACAATGAGTAAGTCTCGTTGAACCACTCCAGGTCCACTCCAGGTCCAAGTCGACGATGCTGTGACAGTGAGTCATGAAGAAAGATGTGATAGACACATTTGTGGTGTAAAATTCTCACCGGATTACATACAACGTACAACCGAGCAATACAAGTTGCTTCACATGCTGAATCACATTCTACACCTACCGACGAGTGCGAACGGCGAGACTGGATAATGCCAGGTTGACAAATTTTATACGAGCTAGTCGTAGAATATATACATATACTGATTTCTATATACCATCAATTATCAAGGCTCCAAGCTGTCATACGCTGGTCAACAAATCTCTAGACAGCGGCTAGCTGAAAAAGTCTCAAGTGTAAAATATCAGCATGATCAAAAGAGCTAGTAAGATCACCAGCACGGCAATCAAAACAAGCTGCCCTTTAGCTCCAGCTTTCTTTATCAATGTTTCCATTTTTTTCTGCATAGAAATCCAGCGACTTGATCAGAAAGACCTTCTCCATTCAGGATACCATGGACCCAGAAATTATTTTCTTGACAAATCAAGTAATTTATCTACTTTCAGATGAATTGAAAGACCCTCAGCTTCATCGAAGGGTGACTGTGATCAAAGCAACAGATTTTGTAATATCGGTCACAGTCATACAAACGAGAGAGTTTTGTACAACTTGCGCAGCAGGTGGGGCCACTCGTACTTGTATCAAACTTGACGTTTGCACTGGGCGACGAGAAAGCCAAATGAGAAAGTAAACAGTTTCTGACATAAACAGCCTAACCGAAATCCCTGCGGTGGTTACTTACGGGTCGTTTGAGGACATTCACCTGGACATAATCAAGCCGAGTAGCTGCGGTATCAACATCACGGCTAATATCGCTGATAAGGACTTCCTGAATCAATGAGGTGTCCAAATTAGAACCAATAATTCATTTGGAAATCCAGTATATTCTTTGTCAACAAACCTTTGTGTACATGGATCGTTTGATGTTGCACGGATCAACAAGAGGTTTGAATATCATGTTCACTCGTGCTGAGATACGTACAGATACCTGTGATGTATTATATTTAACAGAGGGAAATTGGAGAGAGCACACTGATTGTTTTGAAACTTGTGTACGAGTGAATGCATAGATAGAACCTGTACCTGACTGTCCAATTCTTCGTGGATTGCTAAGCCAATGTTGCCCATTCTTTGCACACTTTGACTCAAATCGTCCAGATCTTCATCTTGCTCCCTAGAAAGTAATATTAATCCTTGATGAGCGTACTTTTGCTTTTCATTTCCTGAATATGCTTCAACTCAGACCTCGATAAAGAGCAGTTTGATTAAGCGTTCGACTTTATACGTTTGATGCTACTGGTAGAGTTAAGCATCCAATTTGAAGTCCTTATGATTTTTCCAATGCTGTGGAAGTTATAGTGCCATCATGGTCAAAATCTTACGGGCGAAGGAAAATATGAAGCAGGCAAGAATCTTATAATAAGGGCTCACAGAGTGCAGTATTATGAAAGAATATTCAAGCGCTCACTTGCGATGATATTCGTCTTACTTCAAATACTGGGTTTGCCTTTCTTGTTCACCATGGATATAATCATCGTTTTCAAAGCTCTGACGATTTTTTTGCACGGGCCCGATCTGACCCCTCAGGGCATCCCCGTGGGCTGCGAGTGGAGCTGCCATGGGAAGCCGCAACGCATCATCGGCAACTTGCAGTGTCTTCCGATAACTACTCACCTAAGAAACGAATTACCTTCAAAGATAAGGGGTACATAAACAGTGAATTCAACATTTTCGACCAGTAAATAATCTTGTGGTAATCCTGGAGATTTGCATTTATTGTATAGACATGCAATGTGCAGCTACAGATTCATCAGACTTCAAAAGCTTTGGAAAGAATATAGAAAGAACACCACCCCCTTTGACAAGATCCCAGGTCACAATCCCCACGACGTCAGCAACATATTATACAACACCTCGGAGTCCATTCTCCTGAATTCGATGTGACTCTTCACTTGCAGCGGCGTCAAGACAGTGACTCCGAAGCTGACCGTTTTGACCAGCTAAAGTTGGACAATCTGCCTAGATTTGGGATGCTAGCTAGGCGATCTAACTGGAATCAGCTGCGCATTCTTTGACATCACACTCTCATTGAATCACCTCGGTAACTGTCGAACTGATCCACGCTCTTCGTGTCTGCAGTTCCGTCAGACTAACTCCAAATTTGGTCATATCCCTCTCTGCAACGGACACCGCCTTGTCGAGTTCGTCCACCTTAACACACACAGACGTCATCTTCAGCACTCTCTACGTGATCGACAAAGGTCTCTCTTTGTAGAAGAAGAAGGCCCTTGCATGGCATCATGGAACAACTATCTAAATATCTATTTGATATGAATGACTTGTTCATGTTGTATGAACAGAACTTCCATACATCTGAATTTTGAGTGATTAAATTTCTCTTGGCAAGCTGATTACACGCAAAAGTTGCTTGACCTTTACGTGGAGTTGGCATGCCATTTAGCAGATTATGGTGAAAGAGCTTTGTGATATTCTGAGCAGCTACCATATCGAGATCAAACTCGCCATTTTTATTTCATCCATAAGACAAAGTATTGAGGATTGCTGATTAGCACCGAGGTCAAACGAACAAATGTTATCAAAAGTTCACACCTGCCACTTGATGGTATCACAGCTGGAAATGAGCTTCTTGGTGAGGCTGGCCCGTTCATTCGAAACTTCAGGTAGCTGCTTCCACTGGGTCATGCCTGACTGAAGTTGTGCGATCTACGATTGGGGAAAAACAGGTCAGGTTCGTAACTTGCAATCACATGATAAAAGTGCATAATTGCGTCCACCTACTAAAAATTCTGCTTAAGGTTGGCAGTTGCAGGAGACTTATGCCAATCCGATATGTTAGACTATTATTATGAAGATTGGATGTAAGCAAGAGTCTCTCTTTTTATATACTCGCGCTGTGCAGAAAATTCAAAAGCGAACTGTTTGAGGAGATCGTGGAGGGACAGTACGCATTGTAAAAGTTGATCAGACCTTAGTCTCGATGATTTGAAAGATTGAAAGATTGAAAGATTGAAAGAGCAGTGGATCATTTGTTCAAAGCAACGCAACAGGCCCATATTTGCGGAAAATCTGGCCACTTACTGAGCCGCTCTTGTGGGTGAATGTGTGGATACGTACAGAGTCCTGCACTTCATCTTTAACGAGATAATAAGGATCGAGATGCGACATTGCCGCCCACGGTCGTAAGGAGCACCAGAAAGATTTCTCCCCTTCTCTTTTCGTCTTCAACCGCAAAATCTGACCAATTCTAGACCGACTCTCATCCTGAAATGCTTCATTCTTTACTCTTTCTTCTCAGGAAGCTTCCATTGCTTTCAGAACGTATCTTCCGTTTCTCATGCACACTTCAACCGCAATTCATTTGTCTGTGTCTGTCTGCTTCATGGCTCAAGTGAGAGCAGCTCTGTGCTTTGACTCTCCAACAACATGTGAGAAAGAACTCCCGCCGCCTCGTCCTTTTCTCACATTCTGAACTTTTCAGCCATCAACGAGCATCCTTGGATACTTTGTCAGTTCGGTATCGCTGTAGGTGTGGTGGTTTCAGAAGGGCGGGAATCGATCAAGATAAACCCATTAGCTCCTCCGTCGTCGTCCTCCTCCTCCATCGTCCATTAGGTTAGTGCTTCATGAGAGCGTGCAATTTCCGCTTTCTTTGTTATGATTTCAAGGGGCGGTCGTCCGGCATGCATCCATGCACACAATTAGAGCTTGCGAGCATTGCTGGCTATGATTTCCACCGACATCCGTAGCGGAAAAGTTCTCCAAACAACCACTGAGATGAAGAAAGACGCAGCATTCGAGCGGCTATCCATTGGAAAAGCAGAAATCTCTCAGAAAGCAATAGGTCGGAGAAGAAGACGAAGACTCTAAGCCTCTGACAAAGGCCCGTAGGGCCCACGCGACGAGCAGACTGAGATTCGAAACAGCCTTTTAGCTCCAGCACTTTCGATGGACCCTTCGTAATTCCTTCCAGCATCGCGATCGCGCCATCGCTAAATGATTTGCGAGCAAACGCATGCCATGCCTGCTTCGCTCATTCGCCGAACCTGAAAATTACGGTCGAGAAATTCGGATCTCTGCGACGTGAATTCGTGAATCCACGAGCATTTCCGTCGCTGTCGGATCAAACGATCGGTAACTCCAATATTAAGGAAAACAAATTTAGGTCTGGAGAAGGAGCATCAGGGTTCAAATGTCGTCCTTTCCTCCATGAGCCCACCAAGCGCTACGTGAGTTATGAATTCTCGTGCAGTCACTTTCATTTCAGGCTACGAATTATTTCTCCTTATTAGCCTCGTTTTGCAATAATCGGGCCTTTTATCAGCAATAGAAAGTTACATCCAGACAGTTCATAATTAGTGTATATCGCAGTTTTATGCGGTAAGTAACCAATGGGCAAATTCGAAAAGTCACGGGAAAGTAATCCAGGATGGAAGAATGAAATTTTGGTATTATTATCATATATAAAGTACATATTTTGGTAGCAGCTAGTTACCATTCCGCTTACGTTAATTAACCAAGTGGTGGACCAAGGTCTCTAGTGACAATAGCCTAAACTAAGAATCCGAACATGGAGAACATAGCCGGCATTCCGGTCTTCAGGTCGGGTACTCGGCCAACTGCAGAGGGTCGAATTGAACTACCGGGTAGATATGGTCGTTCACCTATTCCACGGGTGCTATGTATTCCTCGATGGCTCCCATGAGGATACCTGGCAGTACCAGATATCTAGAATGCTCTGCGCATGTACTAGGCTAGAGTTGCCGAGATAATACAAATCTCCCTCGGAGAAAATATATGATCCGGCCTTGAACCAGACTGCCTCCCCGAAATTCATTCCTTTCTTGGCCAGCAGTTCAGGTTCACACATCCCAAAGTTCCCAACATGGTCCATCCGGAGTTGTATCATCTTTAGCACCCGGTTCCGGAAAGGTCTCGGGGTAGGCAGAGAATCCGACTATGTCCCAACCGTAGTCACGTGGAAACTCACCGGTCAAGCACCATTGGGATGGCATCGGAGAACAAGACCAAGTAGTTGGGTAGGTTCTCACGGTATCTGAATTATAAACAAACTTCCGCGATTAGATCTGATAGAGTTTTAAGGATATAAAAAAGTGAGGACAATTAACCTAAATTTAGTGATAATTAATTATTTTTTATATCTTTATCAAACTTAGTAATATTATTCATATTTTACTTGAATGACAATTCAAGTAACATTCTTTTTATTATGAACTAGAGTTTAATTGTTTATATAAATTCAATATATCATGAAATTTTGTATGAAAGAAATTGAAATTTAACTCACCAACGAAAATATTGGTTACCTGTAGATGTGACATAATGACCACGTTAAGAAGTACAGAAGATTTACTATAATGATATTCTATTTGTAAATGTGACTAAACACTTTGACCAAGAGTAATATGACTTGTTGATTTGAAACATATATATCATAATTATATTTTATATAATCCATCAAAAATTATTGATGATGTATGGATTCTTGATAGTGATTGTTTTTATCACATATGTTAAATTAGAGATTTATTTTATATTTTCTCAATATCAAACGGATTAATTTTTATGGAAAATAAGCTTATAAAATTGAATATGTTGGATTTGTGAAGATTCATATGTTTGATGAGGTCAACTGTACATTTATCCAAGTTAAGTTTATATATGATATTAAAAAAAAAATTTAATTTTTTTTGGAATATTAAATTCAAAACACTTGAATGAAGTACTTAATAAAACATGTTTGAGGTTAGAGTCCAAGAGAAGATAATTCTTAGAGCACATAAACACAATAATTTATACTTGCTAAAAAAGCAATACTATATGTGGAGAAATTCATTTTACTAGATCTTGAGTTGAGATCTCTCGTGTATGACATTCTAAACTAGGACACATGAGTAGTAAAGGTAGATGTATTTTCTAAAGTAGAATAAATGTAATATGGCAAGGTTAAAGTTGGTTTGGAGTGTTGCAAACATTGTATCATGGACAAGCAGCATAGACAAACCTTTAGTGTTGGAATTCATAGTCTCAAGGAATTTCTTGAGTAGATACATAGTGACTTGTGCACACCGTCTACTAAAACTTCACTCTCTAGGAAATTTTACTACATATCGTTTATTGATGATTATTTAAGGACCATGTGGATTTATTTTCTCATTCACAAATCTCAACTGTTTACAAGTTTCAAAAATTGGAGAACTCAAGGGGAATATATTTTTGAGTATTTTTGAAATTATTGCAAAGAGTAAAAGATTACTCTTTATCTTATCTTATTTTATTTCTTTACTTTTTATGTTATTACATCACAATGTATACTCCGCACCATAGTGTTGATTTTCAAAATTTCAATCAAACATTGTTTCAAAAGTTGCGTAGGTATGTTGAGCCCATTTGATTTATCATATGAATTTTGGACTAAAGTTTTCAATAATGTAATAAATATGTTAAAACTTTCTATTTTTAGCATAATCAATTTTTTGACCTAGTTTGAACTTTTTTACAAAAGTATGGTTGATTATAACTGTTTGAGAATTTTTGGTTGTACTGTTTACATTTTCATATTGAAGTAAAATAAAACTAAATTAGATACTCTATTTGATAATTGTTATTTTCTTGGATATGTTAGTGATATGCAGGTTTATAGGCTCCGGTATCCATTAGCATGTAAGCTTATTATCAATAGATATGTTTCTTTCAATGAGTATTGCAGAGAGTTCTTAGGTTTCCTATACTTACGAAGATAAATCTACACTCATGGATATTGTTGAAAGTAAATCTGATAATTATGTGATTAATGTTGTGACATAAGGAAAAACTCCGATACATATGGAGTACTAGGAGCCCATCAAATCAGATTAGTGGAGTTTCAAGTATCTGCACCAGACGATTAAGATTAATCAGAATCCTCTATCAAGAGATCATCAAATCCGGTTAGTGGAGTTTCAAGTACCTGTACCAAAAGATTAAGATTAATCAGAATGCTCTATTAGGAGCTCATCAAATCGGGTGAGTGGAATCTGTATGATGTATGTTTCATTGATTGATTCTTCCGTTTTTGGAAATCATTACATTGATCATGATTTAAAGAGAAATTTAGGTTTTTGTCAAAAATTTGAGTATAATTTTGCAATGTGAGATACAATCTTTGATTGATCATATGATTTGGGAGGTAGTTGAATTTTTAATTATTATATTTTGATTGATTACAAATGGATATATAAACTGAAGTAAAATCCAACAAATGACTAGGAGAGAATTTTCAAATTGAGATTAGTGATTAAAGGTTTCATATAATAAAAATATAGATTATAATAAATTCTTTTACATCTATAACGAAATATATTACAATTTCTTTAGTATGTGCATTGGATAAAATATTTAGTTTCATTATAAAACAAATGCATATTTTTATAACATATTATATGAATATTTATAAGAAAAATTTTACATGAGATAACCAGTTGATTTAAAATATTGGATAAATTGATTTGTAATTTCATGAGATCATTATACGTATTGAAACAAATTATGAAATAATGAAAACACAAAATTTTGCATGCGTTATCTTTGAATGTAACTAAAAGATAAATAAGTAATGGAATTTTCAATCTTATTTCTGTATGTGAATGTAAAATTTTTTCAAATCATGATTAAAAATTCTACATATTTTAAAAATATTATATACGAAAAGTTGATAGTCTTCTTGTCAATAAATATCACACATCCATTGAAAAATTGGTATGTGGCAAGGTTGAAGACTTAATATATCGGTGAAAAAAGTTTCAAGTAATCAAAGTCATATGTAGATTCCATCACAATTTGGATTATACGCTACAAATTGGTTTTTCTTTACAAAACTTAAAATCAGTCACTTTTCCTGAAGCTTTCATATTTAAATCATTTCAAACATGCATCTATTTCGATCTCATGATATGGATCTTAAACTGAAGTCAGATTTCATAAAAAACTTATACTCTAATTGTCACAACCGTATGATCTCGTATGTTTGACTATATAATATATATTAATATTATTTAAATCTGTATCTGTTACAAATATGTAAATATACATTTAAGAATTTCTTTCAAACCTAGGTCACATCTATGCTCGTTGTAATACTATACCCTGGTGAAAGTATCCAGTTTCTTATCCATCCCTGTGTCAGGATATTTCCATGTTGGGTTCCGTACACTTTCTCTACTGGTTTTCATCAAGACTTTATCGTCCAAGATGTTTGAGTTTCTAACTAGACATTCGAAGCCTCTATTCACGCTCTTTACATGCATGAATGGACAGGTGTGCAATCATCTAAAGTTGGTTTGCTGTCACTATCAGATGAAATGCGTGTGAGGTTCAAAAAGTTTACACGGTTTAAAGAATTTGGTGTGAAGCTCGTACTGGTGATTGAAAAACGAGAATGTATGATAAACAACCAAGTCTTGACATCCAGACCAAGCTTCCACAAATCAACAAGTTAAACCATTAATATGGTGAAGTACTTATTCTCTTCTCTCTTCTCAGGTGAGATACAAACTACCCTGACAATCTCGGTAGGAAGGGTAGACTAGAATAGAATACTCGGGGCTTTGAGGGCTTCCGATGTTCTTCGCACAGAGGAGAAGGTCATCCATCTATTTGCCTTCTTCCTTAATCTATACTAGAACGAAAACAAGCGGTCAAGAAGTGTTCACTGAAGACCATATTTCCCTCCTCAAAGTTCAGTGAAACCCTGAGAACACACTCAGTAAACTCTCCTGTGGCAGACTGGACAGTAACAAACTAGTATACAAAACGAGGGCATTTGACAGTCGGGGCATGGATTAAGCACCTAATGATGTAATAGTCATAGGCATCCACCTCCCGGGAGAACCAAGCATGCTAAAGTCCCTAGGTGATATCAATCCAGCTCTAGATAGAGTTCTGAATGGTTTCTAGAGAAAGAAGCAACGGCCTCAGAAGTAGACAATGGACAGGTATTAGATTCCCCATATTCGAATAAGCTGGACAGACTAGGTGGCAATCTTAAAGAATCGGATTGTCTGGACCAAGCAAATCCTTCGACAGTCTAGTAAAGGTTAACAGCTTCCACGAATAAGAAGTCAAAATTGAGATGGCAGTGGATGATCAACTCAGAAACACTAGTCAAAGTGTTGGTTTCAAAATTCTCGAGCCCGACCAGCAGCTAATGACCGAAAGGTAATAAGCTAAAAGAATGGCTGTATTCCCAGTATTTCCATTTTGGGCACAATATGTCAGAAGCCACGTAAAAGAATTGCCTCCGGTGTCCTTCACACCCGAAGGGTGCACTGAGCTAAAAATTTGGTAAATACAAGAGGGAGCTTATAAGCAAAAACCCAGATATCATCGCAATCGAGCCTCCCAACACCTAGACCTACGTCTGGAGTATGGCCGATACAATTTGACTCTCCACGGATCAGTTTCGATCCTGCTCACTATGAAAGAGAAATGTCACCTACTGGGGGGAGAGAAGTGGGCTTTGGGAGGCTAGCTTTTTTGGGTTTGCTGTCCTTGGCAGGGGCAGCCTGAAAGGGTAGAAATTCAATTCCTAGCATAAACGGTTGTAAGACAGGTGGAACTTTCACCCCGCTTTCCGTTTGATAGTTTTCCAGTATACAACATATTGTTCTCTCCGTTGCTGTGAGTGTGGAGTTCAGTAGGTGACAGTACTTCTTCACAGTGTCATTGCTCTGCAAAACGAGGACAATTTAGAAAAGTCAGTGATGTAAAAAGACGACACAGTGAATGTTCTGGGTGAACAACTAGCGGCCACCTTCTGAAGAATACAAGGTTTAGATTTGCGTCCTGAAGTCCAGGAACTCACCTTCTTCTGACCAAATCGAATCTCCAAGTTCCGTGCCTGGTAATCAGTGCAGTTTGAACAAGAAACCAGCTCTCGGTATGTCTTGGAAGCAGGAAACCAGGCTTCCAAGTCGTACTTCTTGGCAGCAGCGTCATTTAAAGCTCCCGATACGATAGACACCACGTGATACGGAAGTCCTAGCTGTAAGGAGACACAAGCCCCAAGGAAATGTCTGAATCAAAACATGACGGGACTGACGATGCCTAGTGACTGCAATGACAACTATCTCGCAGAAATCAGATTCACTAGCATACTACTCCCATCACCATGACAAAGACCACGAGGCACCTACCGCTTGGTAGAATTCTTCAGAGTTCTTTAGCATCTCCTCGAGCATGGCCCACGAGTTATCGTCTTCAGGGCTTGTGATGCAAAACTGTTCGATCTTCTCGAACTGGTGCACACGGAAAATACCAAGTGTGTCCCTACCGTGTGAACCAGCCTCCTTCCGGAAACAAGTTGAGTAACCGGCATATCTACAACCCGGAAATTCATTAAAAACAGCAACGATTCAGATCTTATCATCAGGTGCGAAGCAGGACATACATATGGTGCGTCTTCTATGTAGCTCACGCGTAGGAGCTTCTAACACACCCTCCACGTCACAATGAGCTGTAACCGAGATCAGCAACAGAAGGAACTTCATGCTCAAGAGGATGTCCAGCTGACAGGTTGGAGAGAGCGTGCATCGATGCGATGACATCGAGACTGGTAGCAAGGATTTCAGCTCACCTGATGGGTAAGGATTTGGGGTCGATCCAATCCTGTCTGTGATATGCACAAAGCGGCTGCTCAGAGGTAGCAATCAAATATTTGTCATCGCCTTCTCCTGTCACCTGATACATATCATTTCAAGCCCATAAGCTCACAAATTACAAAGAGACGTCACTCCCACTCAACGCCATCCTTGTTTGAAAAGAAACATACACGGGCGAAGCTTTCATATTGCTCTACCTTGTAAAGCTCCTCGTCGAACTGAGCCAATTGGGCACACTCTGACATGACATCCTTCTTCATGAAAAAGGGAGTTTGCAGAGGTTTGTACTCTTTCTTGTACAGAAACGAAAGACCAAAATTGATAAGGGCTTGGTTCAGTAGTACACCAGCACCCTTCAGGTAGTAGCCCCTTCCACCGGCTGTGTCCGCACCTGTGATGAGATGGCAATTGAGCTCAGTTTAGTAAAATCGAATCGTCCAGTTCGAAACTAATAATTTTCCCACGATCTGCCTGCTGCCACCGAAGCACAGATTGAACAGTCTCTTGCCATTTCAAATTAAAGTTACTTCATTATTCACCTTTGTTCAGATCGGCTATTCCCAAGAGCTCGACGAGGTCCACGTGATTTTTCAGACCTGCCTCTTCTCTCTTGGTCTCCAATCCCCACTCTCTAACGACTTGGTTATTGTCCTGTCACAATAACATAATATTGATCAACATAATATCACGCTTGCCGTCATCATGTTTGTAGAGAGACTCTCATCACAATGGACAACGCTCTTCATGGAGAATTGGGTGCAGGAAAAAAGTGGGCAATTCACCTCATTGTTATCAATTGGGACTGAATCATGAACCAAGTTTCCAATTAGCCTCAGCTTAGTGTCAACGGCCTCCTTAGCCTGCGCCTCCTCGGCCTCCTTCTCTGTCCTCTCCTTTAACAAGTTGAGCCCCTGTTCGATAAGCTCTGAAGCATCTTTCTTCGCCTAATCCACATTTGCGACATCCACTCCACTCAGGTTCTCGATTCCATCCGCCCAACGTAGGGACGATGAACAGGCAATCCGGAACTCTTGAAGTGAAGCCAGCTAAATGCGTATGAGAGAATTGGCAGAGCATAATTCAGAAATAACAGTAGTATTCGCAAGAACCCACGACCGAGATGGCGATGCAATGAATCTTACCGCTTTCAGTTTCCCAACCTCCTTGCTTATGGCATTCCGCCTCTTCTGCACTTGCTCCAGCTCAAAAAGACCTGCGATTGATTGCAGAGAGACACACAGAAAGAAAAGACGAGAGGTGAGAGGGAGTGGGAGTGAGGTGTCGCAATTCCAATTATACCGCCACCCGTCGGATAATGGCATTGCCACAAACCGGCCGTGACTCGACTCCACTCGCCCTCACGACGAGCTCTCGGGGAGAGAGACCAAAACCCCACATCCAGAAACAAGAAATTCGACACTTGAGACCCCGGACCGAAGCACGCGGAGTCGGACTCACGTCCTCGCCAAGCCTTGTCGAGCGCGATGACCTCATCTACGAGCTCCACGCTCGCGAACCGTCGCCTCTGGGACTCCCTGATGCGTTCCGGATCGTTCTTATCCTGTCTAAACAACTGAATATCCAACATCGTGACAAGCTTCGAAATCCACACCCTGCACTGACGACGAGGCCGACCCGCCCGACCAGAAGAGCCTCGATCCGCACGAGCTCGTGCAGGCGCAGAAGAACAGAACAGAGCAGAGCGCAGAGTCCTCGTCGTCCCCCACCTCGCGCTTCTTCGTCCCTTCCTTCCTTCCCTTCCCTTCGTTCCCCTCCCAGCTCGTCGATGCGAACTTAGGGCTCCATATCCGCTTAGGGTTTACTCGCCAGTCCTTTCACCATTCACCGCGCGTTCTTACCCCCAGCGCCGCCCTCTTCTCCTCCAGATATTCTCCTTACCCTCCGGACAACCACTGCGACTCGTCGGCTCTCCCTACTTCCCCGCTCCCCTCCGCGCTCTTCTCCTCCGGTCCGTCGCCAGTGATTTACCCCTCCAGCGTAGTTGGCGCCCTTTGTTACCCCTGGCTGCTGCCCCTCGGAGCGTGGAGCGTTGGTCTGGTATCATCATCTCCAGCCAGCTCCGAGACGCTCTGTCCGTCTGCTGTCGGGGGATTCGGATTCGGGGCGGAAGTGGACGAAAGAATCCGGGAAGCCTTGGGATTGAAGGGTTTAGGGTGCAGGATTTGTTGCGTTCGGATCGGGAGGCTTTGATCGTTCGTGTTGGGGGCAGGACTGATTGCAGTCTTGATTGCTGCGAGTGGGATTGGAATCCTTGGGGCTCCCAGGCGGAAGAGGGGCGGAAGAGGGGACAGAGGGAGGAGGCGATTCACTCTCGGGTCGGGTTCTTCTGATCGAGTTGGGATTGCTGCGGCATTGCGATGCCGCGTACTCTCAAAGTCGACCTTCCTGGTGTGCCTCGAATTCGAGCCCTCTGCGGTGACTCGTTGGGGCTTATTAAAGGTCAGTTAGTTTGTTTGGATTCGAGACTGAGAATGAACGAGCCTGATTATCGAGAAAGGAACTTTCCCCCTCCGTTACTGTGATTTTTTTTATTTCTTAACGAGGAGGAAGCTAGCCTTCCTGGGGTTTAGGGTTTAAGAGGATTTTTGCGCATAGGTTGGCGTGTAATTGAACCGTGGGATTATGACGTTCTATGTACGCTTCGCGATGGTGACATCTCTCCCAATTTATCAAGATTGACTGAGTGCATTCATACCCTTTGCCAGCCCGATTACTGGCCCGGAAAGCTTTGCATTCAGAGTAGTTTATGAGGTTTATGTTTTTATGGTCTGTGTTTGTAATTTATGTCGATAGACGGTTTGTTCTCCTCATTTCCTGCTCTACATGCCGCCCATTTGGAAGGCGGTATGGAGTTTTGAGTCCACTTGACGGTGGTTTAGGGCTGGGGTTTAAGTGGCATCCTGGGTACCGTGCTCAGAGTATCTGATGATGGTTCTTTGTCCTGGCCTTCAGTCATCACAACCGAGAGTGACTTGGGAGCTCCAAAAGTAGCTGCTCGATGGGGAGACCCGGATCCTCAGCAAGGTGTGCTTTGTATGTCGATGTCAAACGACGGGTCGCCGGTTAGTTCAATTTTTTTGAACCCTGTCACTTGAATTGTTATCACCTTCTGTCAGTGCAAAAATAGCAGGAGGCGAATTTGTGGTGCATCCTTCAACTATCCACCCGGATCAGTTGTTTCTTAGTGAAATTATTTTACCCCTTCACAACTGATTTAGCTTTTGTGCTTGCCTCTGTCATATGCAGGGCCTTGCCATTGCGAGAAAATCAAACACCGTAAGTTGAATTTCACATATCCTCATGTATTCAATTGCATTTCCTTGTTAAAATCAGACTTGCATCTCTTCCTATCTTCTGGCTGTAGCTACGGGTTTGTCAGGAGTATTTTTAGTGTGCAAACTTATCCTTGGGTGACGTAATGTTTCCTGTTCATGCGAAGTCAATGGCAATGGAGGTCAGTCGCTAAGGTTCATCCTATGCATAATCTTAGAAGGGTTACGAGCTCGTGAGTCAATATCTAGCCTGGCCTAATAAACCTTTTACCATGATGGCTCTAGGTCGACGTGATCGATCCTGTCAGCGGACTGCTTGAATCACGCCTTGTTGTGCCGAAATCGTCTGCGGATGTTGCATCCAATAGAGACGCATCTGATGCTGTTTGTGGCTTGCACTTGTTCGGCGAAAGCAGCTCGTGGTAAGTCCAACGATTAATTTTTTCCACATTCTTCGTTTCAAAGTTTTTTCGAATCAGAGAATTCATCCACGCACATCACGGGGCACTCTGAGGCTCAGAAATCGAACTTTCCTCTTTGATTTACACTCTCCATGTCTAATTCAGTATTTGTCGATATCTGACCAGGGGGAAGGCCGCACTCACATGCACCGAACTTGGAGATGCTATATTACAAAGACTTCCAGAGTTGGATGAGGAACAAATTCCTAAGAGTGAAAACTTTTTGAGCAGATGGAGCGTATCTCAAACAGGAACCGTTTTGTGCATGGCAGTCGACGCCAGTGAACAGTATGCTGCTTTTGGAGGGTAAGAATTGCCGACCTCCTCCGTCAGAAGTATGCAATGGGTATCCTCGACTGCTTCGAGCCTTGAGAATTACAACAAGCTCCACTTCCATTTGCAGGCGAAAGTGCGCATTGTTTTCAGTCCTTACTGTTTCCTCAGTAATTGACTCAGAACATGTGAGGAAAGAAAAGTGGAAGAGGTCAAAGTCCGTGGGAGGGTCAGCTCAGTAGGATATTATTTCACTGCATTCTCTCTTGCTACTAACCATACGATTGCAAAGCGTTTTAAGAAACTGCCCGGACATTTTGGCTGACACGCGTTCATTTTCCAGAAAAGGTGTGGATTTGAGCGTCTGGGACATTAAGAAAGGTTCTAGGATATGGAGTGCCAAAGCGGTAAGTAATGCTTTCGATTGCATCACTCTCATCTCTAGTAGAACTTCCCTCATGTCAAATTCAAGCAGTAAAGTCTTGCCCGAAAATGGGTACTCAAAGGAGAAAAAAACGAATTGAATCGTTGTTCGTCCTGTCCTCCGCTGTCTGCAGCCTCATCGTGACAATTTGGGGTTGATGTCCCCTGCATGGGTGACAGCTGTAACTTTTCTCGATGATGATCACAAGAAAATTGTAGTTGGAACTGGTCACCATCAGGTATTTATCTGGCTTCAACAAGTGCTCACTAGTTTGCACAGTGCTCATTTATTTCTACAGCTTAAGTCGAATCACAGAGAAATAGTATACTGAGTGTATGTTCAGTTTCCACGGGCCTGCCTTTACAACTGCCCTTTCTCCCCTTCTTCAAATCACTTTGATGTCTCAAGAGTATCCGGTTTCCATGATTTATGGTTGCCTACAAAGATATTTCGTAAGCAGGAAGATGTGGCTTTGTGATCGTTATCTAGCTGTCTACCATGAAATGTCTCAGGTTCACTCCAGGACATTAGTGTCAAAACCAATAGTGAAAGAATAATTGGAGGTCTAATATTCAAATCTGCAGGTGCGCCTTTATGATACCTCAGCTCAAAGAAGACCAGTTCTTGCTTTCGATTATGGTGAGGCTCCTATCAGAACTGTAACGAAGGACCCAAATGGTACCTCTGTCTACGTGGGTACAGGCCATGGAGATCTTGCTTGCTTTGATATGCAGACAGGTAAGGCCTGACCAAACTGGTCATCTTGAAGTATTATGAAGAAAAAGGGAAAGTTAGTGTCTTCTTGAAAGAAATCAAAGATTTGAACTCCGATTGAGCTTCTCATTTCACATAGGATTATGCTTCGATATCATTTGCATCAGTCCTTGTGACCGTGCCATTCTGAAGTTTGACAGTGAAACCAAATGACAGAGATGCCTTCTCGATGTCATATACGTTGTCATGTAGCACTTTGTGGATTTCAGCAGACATAGGCACAAACACGTCTGGCCATCGATATTCTCTTCATCGGTGTGCAAGTTTTTCAAGTCAAATTGTCCTTTTACAATCCAGGCTGTTCACTAGACAGTCATGTGGTGAAGGATCTTGAAAATACTGTGGGAGTTTTCCAGTTTACAAGTCCTAGGTGTGGATGTAGGGCTTATAAACTTGCCCAAGAGTTTGCAGCTGAGAATATGCCTTGAATTTTTCGCAGGAAAGCTGATTGGTGGGTTCAAAGGTAAATGTGCTGGAAGCATCCGATCAGTAGTTCGACACCCCTCTCTGCCCCTCATTGCTTCTTGCGGTAAGTTGCCGTTCGACGTTTATGTCCATTTTTCACGCTTTGGTTGGTCTTCCGCCAATCTGCCAAAATACATGATCTAACCTCAGTCTGATATGAATCAAAGGCTCAAGCTGCTTCAAGATTCTCAGTCTGGTTGGATGCCTTCATATGTTTCCTTTTTTTCAAACTCGGAGAATTATGAAATCTGGTCAGATATTATTTCACCTCTTGTGATGATAGTTTCTCCAAATACTGAACATTTGTTCCTTCTGTTACAGGTCTGGATCGGTATCTAAGAATTCACAGCACCCAGACAAGACAGCTCCTTGCATCGGTACAGTTTCTCTTCTGTGCCCACTTCTTCTTATGTTTTGAACGTACGTCGGAATCTGTCTCATTTTTCTTCACGCTGGACTGCGGCACAAGGTGTGACCATCTCAAAATGATACACAGCTATCTGAAACTCCAAGATCAAATGGAGACCTCAGTGTTGCTTACGCCCTGTAGCAACTCTACGACTTGTTCTTTCTCCTACCATGAACGGGATCTTGTTAACAACATCACCGCTTTCGCATCTGACGAGTACTGGAAGTGCTCTTTGTTGAAAATTCATCGTTTTCTTGGAGTTTTTACACAGATCTCCGTTCATTTTTGCAGATGTTTTTGAAACAACAACTTGTTTCGGTGCTTTTTGATGCTAGAGTTGAGAGGGCAGTCACGGAAGTTCCTTCACTTCCAGGTATGTCCTTTGCCGCCTACTACAAAAATCAAGCTGTAGAGTGCGAAGATGTGATGCTTAAACCAGTTCAGTAGCATGGGCTGGATCATTACTGTTATTGTGAGTTCGCCGTAGCGGTGAACTTTGGAGTTCTCTGTCGTATGAAGTGAAGGCGGTCAGCGTAGAAACGTTACGAATCTCGATGAGAGCTGATGGGACTCTGAGAGAATTTCTCAGATCTGAGGATAACGTGGAACTTCGTATGTTTTGCCAGATGTTGCTGAACCCATGGCCGTGGAGCCCGAAAAGCCAAGTGCCAACGGAGCGAAGTCACTGAAGGAAAAGAAGAGCAAATTGAAGAGGCAGGCGGAGGGAGCTCCAGTTTTTGACGGGCAAGGAGCAACGGAAGAAGCCGCAGCTACAAATGCTACCAGCGGACAGAAGCTCAAGAAGAAGAGCAAGTCAAGTAGGCAAGATCCAGTTGTCGATGGGGTCGGTACAGAGGAGAAAGCTACCGCTGTTAATGGGGAGAAGCGAAAGAAGAAGAAAAAGAGCAAGAGCAAGCCAGCCAAGTCAATTTAATTTTTTTATTATTGAATAAAAATGAAGTGAATTGGTCCATGTGATGTTTATCAATGTATGTGAGAAGCTTCATTTGTCTCTGCTTGGAAACCCGTATATCTCTGTGAAGTCCTGCTTGCGATGCCTCCTGAGGAATACATGCAAATGATGTTCAGCCATCCGAACATGAACCTAGAAACAGTCCACAATCATGAACTGAGTGGCATTTGTAATTTGGGCATAATTATCGGGTATGTTGGTGCGATTGCTCCCCTCTAGAAGTATGAGTGGCAGGAAAGTGATCCCAATCACGTACCGGTTTGAGAATTAATTATCTGGATTTATTGAAAGAATTATCTCTCCTATTAATAATTTTACACAATACTGGATCCCGTAGTCAATAATTGTTCACAGCATTAACATATTTAAAGTAATGATACTTCTTGGAAGTAAGATATTTCTTGGTATTATTTTCCTAAGAATAAGAGGTTTAGCACAAGGTCAAAAGTTCTCAAATAATTATAATTGGTAATCCATTCCTAACGGGATTCAAGGAGTGTCAAAAATTGACTGCATTAAAAGGGAGATCAGATAGACTAAATATACTACGATTCTTCTCCAACAGTTATAGTTTCCTTGAAGAATATAAATCAAGATAGTGTAATTACGATTCTTTTCCAACATTATTCAATTGAGACTTATAATTTCCTTGAAGAATATAAACTGAGATAGTGTAATTACGACTATTCTCCAACATTATTCAATTGAGATTATTATAATTTACTTGAAGAATATAAATCTAGATAGTGTAACTACGATTCTTCTCCAACATTATTCAATTGAGATTCTTCTCCAACATTATTCAATTGAGATTATTATAATTTCCTTGAAGAATATAAACCGAGATAGTGTCATTACGATTCTTCTCCAACATTATTCAATTGAGACTGTTATAATTTTCTTGAAGAATATAAACCGAGATAGTGTTATTACTTTCAGAGTAAAATCCAATCTCATAAGTACATTAATTGTGATTTTCTATACTTAAAGTTGTCATTTTGTGTTGAATTGGAGTTTCAATTTGGATTTTTGAAAATTATCAATATTTTAGAATTTTATTAGAAAAAATAAATCCACACAAATTTTAAATAATCATTTATAACTTATTTAAATCAAAATTTATATAAAATGAAAATTTAAAAAAAATTTATCCACACGTCACAATGTCCATACTCAATTAACATCTTGGAACTATGACTTTTAACATCAAAAATTTGTTTATGATGTTTGTTACAATATTTCTTTAACTTTAACAAATGCTAGATAACATTATTTTTCTAATCTGAAAGTAACATGTATCTATTAGTCAAGTATTCTATTATAGAATTCCACACGTAAAACATCTCAACTCAAACTTTAGTAAAGTTAATTTACTCATAGATGATAGTGATTTCTTCCAAATATATATTGTTGCGCTTATGATATCTAAGAATGAATTCATCACATAGTCTGAGGTCAAGCATTATTTTGTTGAGTTCCAATCAAGACTTTTTGAGTCTAACATTTTAAGATAAATTAACAACATTATTTTCTGTTGTAAGTCATGAGTTTACATAACAGTTACAAAAATTTGTAAATGATTGTTTGTCTATCACGATGAATCAAGACACGTGATATGGTAAATGGTAAATAATAATATAATAAATAATATGATATATAACATAGTATAATTACAGAAAATGGTAAAGATTTCTCTCATCAACAACTTATTCTCCAAGATTACAAAGATCAATCACAAGATAAACGAATGCATTAATGTGATCTTGGATTTTTGTGCCAAAATCTTTCATCTTAAAACTCATAAGCTTCAAACAATCAGTTCGAAATTTTTGCGACAAAATAGTTTCTCAAGAGCTTCAAACAAAAGAGTTATTTGTCATATTCATTTATTTGCTTCAAAATCAAAGGTTGTAATTTAAGTAAGATTAATTTAATTAACTCACAACTTGTTACTAGAGTTCTATCCAATCGGTGTCATTGTACTCTATGATTTGGGACTCAATGTCTTGCCAAGATCCATGATCTTTAATTTGTCTTTCCTAGAACAGATAGTCATTATTTCCATCATATTTGACTATGTCGTATATTAACGCCATACTCTTGCGTGACTTTTAAAACTTGAAGCTGTATCTTGTACTTTGAAGTGAAAACTTTTTCTTTTTTATTCATTGACATCTTTTCATACTATTTTTCACCACTCTTTGCTCACTCCTACTTTTTGGAATTTTTTACTCATAGTAAAATCTTGTAGTAAAATCTCCAAGAAAATCAAATCTGCAACGTTATCATGTGACAATAATAGGTAACTCAATTTATCTTTTTTGTAGTACATAATTTTGATGAGATCATATTATGTCAAAGGTATTTAGTAAAAAAATATTGCATGCTTTGATTAAGCAATGCTTTAGCAATCAAACAAAATATTGCTTTAGCGAAGTTACTAACTGAACTTGGAATTTTTGAAGTATTTACTCATCAAGCATGTAAAAATGCAATTATGGCCAAGTAAAAACAAGAGGTTATTAACAAAAGCGTTCAGAAGAAAATCGACATCATTTTCAAATAAGGCAATGATGATGTAGACTATATTAGGATGAATGTGCGTGAGCACATTATACATCATATCTCTGCCATGTCTGATCCTCATCTAATGTGAAGAAAATTTGAGATTTCAAATTTGAAAATTTGAAATTTGAGAAATTTGACTGTTTGGGGATCAAGGCTAATGAGGATCAAGTCTAGTAGTTGCATTGTAAATTGTCCAACCTTTCAATGAGGAAGTATCAATATGTTGAGATTCACATACAAACCGTGAGAAACCTCACTTATCAATTATCAAATTGCAATGAGATAGTCAAAGATTCAAAACTTATAATTCTTTAATCGTTGAATTTGCTCACCGAGTTGATCAGAGTTTACTTTTTTCATTAAAGCTAGTATTATTCATCATCCTTATACACTTGTGTAGTTACTTACTCTTCTCAGGGATGAAGAAATGAGTCATGAGGTCAGATTTAACCGAATCGACGTGTCGGTCGAGTCTCTTATTGCCACCACCTAGCGTAAGTCTTATGCCAAATTTCATCAAGACAATTCTCATTGCAATCGCAATTGCCATGATCAAGACAAAGAGCAGTATTGTTCAAATAGGATAACATCCGTTTGAATGAAACGATCATTTCAACGATCCAACAATGATTGTGACTACAACTACTCTAACCGGAGGAACTCGAGCAACCAAGATCATATCGAGTTTAACAATTGCCATGCTTCTCATGATTATTTTCAAAAAATTCTCCGCATAGATATACTACTTCTCATAATTCTTCTTTGCGCTCTAAGGAAAGAACTTATAACAGCAACATGAACAATTCTTCACATTTTGCTACACCAAGCTTAGAATTCGGAAATTGCAATGAGTGTGGAAAACAAGGGCATTGATTGTATAAATTTAGTCATCATAAGCTTCCCAAAAAGCTTGAAGCGCTGTAGAACTCTTACAACATCCTCAAGAACTCTAGGAAGTCCAAGCCAAACAACATAGAATGCAATCTCAACTGTCATCATGACCATCGCAAGGTTGCTTTTGAGGAAGCTGATGTTGTGTTTTTTGGCAATCACGCTGCACTAGTTGTAGACGAAAATGTAACCAATGATGCGACTAATGTACATTCTGCATTTGAATGAAGTAGAAGTAAAGCAGCCATGGTCTTTTGATAGCGGTACCTCCTCACACTTAACCAGAAACAATATTATTTTTTTTAATATTGAAAATCAAGTTGATCATATATCAACTAGAATTTCAAGCAATCAAGTTCTTCCGGTTTGTGGAAAGGACTCATTTAACTTAAATATAAAATAAGGTGTCATGTGTTCTTTACGTACTTGATATGAAGCGTAATTCGTTGTTTGTTGGACGTCTAATTGATTTTGGCTATATAGTACTTTTTAATTTTAATATGTATTTGATAAAAAAAATCCACTTAGTATACTACTTCATGAAGAACGGGATACACATAACAACCTATACAAGTTATCTAAGCCTTGAGGTTTCTTAATAACCATCATTGCACTGTCTTTCCAACACAACTTTTCCGTTCCACTGAAGTTTGGAGTATAGAAGAGCATATGCCAGATCTTCAGACTCATTCGGTTTTTCAAACCCAGCTTTGGCATCGCAAGATGTATCATGTCAACTATCAAAAGCTCCACTTGATGGCCTCTAAGAAGTTGGCTACCAGAATTACCAAGATCTGTCACATTATATCTTTATGTGCTACTTGTTTGATAACAAAGCAAAACCAAGATCGTGATTCCAAGCTTTGTTGTACTCAAACAACTAGTCCGTTACAATTGTTGCACTTTAACTAATGCGTATCTTTTACTTCTCAATTGCTAACAAAGAAATGATACATATTGATGTTTGATAAAAATTTTACCATGTGTACTTGGAATTTTTTGTTGAGTACCAAAGATGAGGCACAATAGCAATTTCAAAATTTTGATGAAGAACAATTACAATCATAAGATTGCATCATTGCAAGATATGTCTACAAGACTTATCATGCTTTTTGGGTGCGTCATGTACATACAATGATTGACATTACAAACAAGTTAGGATAGAAGATTCAAACAATATTGTTGTACATGAATGTTGTAATCATTTGAAAATTATGCCCATTCATAAACAATAATGTCACCTAAAATTCATGAGCATGGATGATTTGGGCATGGACATTCAATGTTGGTTTCTAAAACTTACACAAATTTTTGTATTTTTAAGCCTACAAATAGATATGATTTTAAACTTAGTATTATTTTCATATATTATTCATGATGTTGAAAATTGAAGGATAAAAATAGAATAAAATGTTCATAGACCTAGAATATACATTATATTTTATATTCATATTTCATAATTTTTAATCTGAATAAATGAAAAAAATTTATTTCCATGATATGTATGTAATGAATATAGGTAATAATGTGGAAAATAAT